GTGTGTGTGTGTGTGTGTGTGTGTGTGTGTGTGTGTGTGTGTGTGTGTGTGTGTGTGTGTGTGTGTGTGTGTGTGTGTGTGTGTGTGTGTGATGCCTTGAGAAGATCAAAATGTGTGCGAGTCAGACAGAGAAATGTCAAACAAAAACAAAACAAAGATAAGACAGGAGGGATCTTGATGTGCACGTGTCTGATAGCATGCAGGTTGCATTTGGATGTTTACAAACACAAAATGAGTTTGCGTGTTTTGTGTCCACACACCCCAGCTTGGCATTGTTCTGCAGAGTCTGGAGACGTGTCTTCACCAGATCCAAAGGCTGGAAGAGCAGCGTTGAGCAGGTGCCACTGAGAGAGCCACACATAAAGGCTTTGAGAGCCGGGTGAGCCTGAGGACAAAGTCGGACAGACAGAGGGACGAGGGACGAGGGTGACAGAAAGGGATGGAAAGAAAGAGGACATAAAGGAGAGAAGTGAAAGAAATGGCTGACAGAGAGTGGACAGGGAGAGGAAGGGGAGGTTGGAATTACAGACAGAGATGAGGGGGACAGAAGAGGAGGATAAACCAAAGAGAAATATAAAGCATTAGTCACACTGTAAAAGGTTCATCTGAAAACTAACCATTCAACAACATTCTCTGTATTGGTCACTTATTGTTGAACTCCAGGGAAACATTATACAAACAAAAACCTGCATTAAAAATCCTGCCACAGCAGAGAGGGGCCCCAAAATACTGAACGTTACGTCACTAACTGGTTTAAACAGGCTTGTGTTACATTTCTATCACTACAAACATAAAGCTGTAAACAGAGGGGAGGCCAGGTTCCTACACAGTGAAGATGACGAAGATGTGCAGAGACAGTCCACAATCAAACACACACACACAAACACACACACCGAGGCACAGAGGCTGTAGGGTTGAATTATACTGTGACTCAACATTATCTGTGCTTACATGCCTTATGGTCAAACAGGCAGAGAAGGCATGACACACGTATGTGGACAGACAGAACACTACATTTAGCTGCATTTCAAGGTAAAGACAAAAACATAAGACAACAACAATAACCACATTTACAGCGACCATAAGAAACAAAATAAACCATCTACGCCAGGACACAAAATGACACCTATACACACATCATTTAATATGTACGACAAGCAGCTTATACACACACACACGTGTCCCTTTAATGCTCACATCACGCATAAACACACACTCCTACCTTTCCCAGGCTGCTCGTGGCTCGGCTCTGAGAATCCTGTTTTTCCTGCATTTTGTCCTCTTTCAACTTCCTCCCTCTGTGAAGCTGCTGCTACAAAGAGCATAATGTAAAATAAACCTCCATCTCTCTCCCCTCTCTCTTTCCCTCTCCACTCTCTCCCCTCTCCTCTCAACCCACAGTGGCTTTCTCCTGCTTCTCCTCCTCCCCCCCCAATGTTTTGCAGCCAAGGCAGAAGCTTAATCCAGCCAGCGTTTTCTCTGGACTTCTATCTTTATCTTCTAGAGACACACTCACACATCTGTATTTCAGCGACCCCCAACCCCCGCAAAAGCTCACTGCTGAATTACATCTTTGTCAAACGGCATGAGTCACAAAGTGGCTGTACGTGTGTGTGTGTGTGTGAGGCTTTAGATATGAGTCACTTAACATGTATCCAGCAGGAGTCTACGTGCAGAAGTTACATAGCCTTCTATAAATCTGCTTGCAGTAATGTAACTCTGTGAGGTGATAGGAGGGTTCAGTTTCCTCACTGTTATATCTGATCCAAACTCCAAAATCCATCTGTCCAGTATCTGTACCACTTTGATTGTCACAATCGCAGACCCAAGAACCTTCTTGCGATGAGGGGACAGGGCTAATCACAACTGGGCCAACTTAACTCCAAAATATCCAATGAAAATAACCAAACTCAAACTTTGAGAACAAATTATCACTGCCACCGTGGACAGTAGCTTCTAGCATGCCTGGCTGGGAAAACCAACGATTCAGAAATATCGACCCTAACTTTCTGTAACAGCCTCTCCATCTCCCAATCAGGTTCGAGTCCAGCATTTTTGGTTTTCTGGTATTAGCTTTTTAATGACTTTCTAATGACAGACAGGGTCAGGGATGATAGACAGTATTTCTCTGTCTTTTCAGGTTTGGGCACATTCTTTTTGAGCTGAGAAGAACTCTACTCTGATATTTGTTCAAGTGCTCACTCTTCCAGTAAGTTTGGATTTAAATAGTTATCTGATGCTATAAAAACAGGGAGAAAAAACATCATGATTACCAGCTGAGACTGACTCTCAATTGGTCGAGCATGTGGATCACCTCGACCCGGCTGCTGCACAGATTCAAGTTCATGATGTCAACATCTTCTCCGAGATATTTCTGCTTCATTTCTCAACCAAATGTCATTAGCAACCAGTTAAAAGGTTGATTTTGTCCTATGGTCTAAACAAGGGTTGGTCAACACTGAGACAATCGAAATGTTCTCAGGAAATGTGTCATGTCGCTTGACATGTTAGGGCCATGTTGTGAAATCAAAGAGCAGGACAACTATAAGACACACACACACACAGACACACACACACACACACACACACAGAGTTGAACTTTGTATTGATTCACAGATCCTGGTGTTTGCCCACCTGATTGACCACTGTGACCATGTCACACAGCAGCCTGCAGGTTTGAGTTGATGCTGAACTTACTCACCGGAGCTAACTCCATCTTTGAGCAGGACGAGTCCCGGTTCTCTTCTCCTGCTGCCGTTTTGAAGCTGGTTGATTTCAGCCAACGTTACTAGATGAGGGGGAAACAGATGGCAGCCACGAGTCACTCACTGAAACGATGATCGTCTCTCAAGAAGCCGGGTAGCAGCATGCTAGTTTTGGCTAGCTGTCAGAATCTGTGTGAGGACGGAGGCAGCGGGACACCAGACCCTCAGGACGGGACACACCAACACTGACAACCCGGCTGATCGGTCTGTGATTCAGACAATAATCACTGCTTTACAGGGAAATACCGTAAAACCCGTCTCAGCTCTGATGGTTTGTGTAAGAACGAAAACCAGCTACTCACTCCACTAGCTAGCTAACATAGCATGATAGCACGCCCCTCTTACCCGGACTTCGAAGTGTGTTAAGAGGTGATGGAGGAGATGAACACCCCCGCTGTCTCCACGAACACCATGTTACATATCCAGTGTGACAACCTGCAGATGTGTCCTTACAGTCGATCGCCAGGAAACACTTCTCCTGTCAGGCTGAACGCAGAACTTTCCTCCAAAGCTAGCTAGGTAGCAACAACGTTAGCGACAGTTAAAAAAACAACTAGAGTGTGACTCTGTGCTACAAGAACACGTGACACGAACAGTGTCCTGCTGGGATCGTGGGTTTAAACTTTAAACCTCAGTAAAGTCTGACTTCATGGTAATAATGACCGACCACTGCTGCTACCTGCGACTGTTAGCATCTGGCTAGCAAAGTTCACCTCCAGAAGTGACGCAATACACATACATCATACATCACACACACTAACACACGCACAGGCACACAGGCACGCACACACACGCACACACATACATCTCACTCACTCACTCACACACTCACTAACAAACGCACAGACACACACACACACATCACACACACATACATCACACTCACACAGACACACACACAGTTATAACACTGTCTCTTTCAGACACTAAAGGCATAAACATCTTTTCCATGATTAGTTGAATGTTATTGTTGATTTGCTTCTTCCACACTTGAATGAGCAAACACCCCAAATACACATTTATGTGTTTATTCTACTAGTGTGTGTCTCTAGATTTCAATTAAAACATATCTTTAAAGGACATACACTCTAAATAGGTATTTTGACAGAAATCAGCTATTTACACCAAAGTTTCCAGTTTCATTCCCATCAATATTGTGAAGGCTAATTTGTAGAACATTTTATTACTAAAAATTGTTGCTTTTGATTATATCTTTCTGATTTATGGAGTTTAAATATAAATATCCAACATCCCTGTTGGAAAAACATTTATCCCTGATGTAAATGTTAGTAGATATACTCTGCTACATCGGGGTTTGAGTCATCCACAGTCACTGAAGTGAAGTTTAAACCTTCTGGAGCTTTAGTGTTTTTGATATCCAGTGAGCCACATTAAGAAATACAGTACATCTAATATAGTTTAATAAATAAAAAAACAGAAAAGGATGATTTCACGATTGTAGTTGGGTGTGTCGCCTTTTTCTCTCTCTGTGTCAATATAATCACTCTGGTTTTCAGTGTTTTTAATTGATGGATTAATGAATTGTGACATAACTAATTGAAAAATGGCATAAAGGCATAACAACGACATTTTTGGAATGAACACATGATTTGTTTAACACTGTATCTCTGATTACTTTAGAGTAAAATCACTTTAAAGAAGGGAACTTTTCACAGACAGTGAGGACAAGAGGAATTACTGCAGTGACTAAAAACACATATGGACACATGAGCATTGATTTGAGACAGACGTGGAAAAATTGTAAACCTCTCCTTCAAGCCTAAAACTGTTGAGATTGAGTTTATCTACAGAAAAGAAGAGGTTGAATTCATTTGATGGATTGTCAATTTATTGTATTAAGGCCTTTGATAAAATACAGAATAGCCTTAAAATATTGGCATCAATATGTTGTGTCATTTCTTTGATAATACAGCGTTAGGATATCGTATTGGATTTAACATTCACAGGCTAATGTGCCAATATCAAAGCAAAGCACAGCACGAAATAAAGTACAGTGAGAGTGACTACATGATGACCCACCACCAATAAACAACACCAGTAAAACCAGTGAGCAAGGATACATCAACTGTGCTATCATAGATTATGGTTTAAAAAAAAAGTACACACATTTTCACCAATATTTCTGATTCAACCATTTTGCAGTGAAGAGGTGAATATTTTCCAATCTCGTGTGTGGCATTGTGCAGTTTTGGTTGAGGTAAGACCATTGAAAGGATAACAGTGAGAGTAACAGCACACGGTACAGACTTCTACCGTAAGTGCATCACAACTTTCAAAAAGACCCACATTTGTGTGCAAAATAAGCATAAAATGGCCAGCGTTTCTCCGACAAAATGGTCAAGTAACAGCACATAAACCTCAAGCTCAAAGGACATGGCTTGTCAGAGGAGCACCATTTTATAATATACCCATTAAGTAGAATAAAAGACCTAGAAAATGATCTGTGAAGCCTGTGTGGAAAAACATTGCTCACATTCAAAAAGTACATTATTTGGCCAAATATAAATGCACCATACAGGAAGGAACAATATGGGTAAAAGAAGTCTGTTCAGGGGAATAAAAAGATAAATCTTCAGGTTGCAAGGCTACTGATTTATTATATCTGCATGTTGACTGTGGTCGTAATATTTCCCTCTCGGTGCTCCTCTGCTCACTCAGTTGCAGTCTCTGATGTTTCAGTCAGCACGTCCATGTCCTCATCACTGTCCAGACCGGTGCGAGCCAGTGTACGACGCACGTTGAAAGTCCCATCTCCACGTCTATAAAACAAACAATGTGTGTGGGACATTAGTCCAAAATATAGACTGTTGGGGTTGATGGGTTCCATTTACAAACTCACAAAGCTCATGACCATGCACTCAATTAAAGTCTTTAATATACCAAAATAACCAATCCCAACATTTATCGATTTGATTTTCTCATCAGCAGTTTAACAGTTTAACTTCAAACTTGGTGGTTTTGTAGAGAACTCGAGGAAGTTCTGTATCAACTGAGATTTTTGGGAATGTTGCTTTGTGAGTTGGTAAGGACCCATTACTCCAATCAGGCTATTTTTTTTTCTAACAATGCCACTCACCAACAGGCACATGTTCAAAAGGCATATTTAAAATTGCAAAATAGGGAGTTTGGACATTTTCACTTATTTCCCAGGGAATCATTTAGGGAACTGATATCTATGAGTGTGAGACTGTTGGTGGAGGTATGCACTCTCCTAAGTGCCATTTTACTTAATAGTAAATGTTGAAGACTCTACCTGAGCTTGCTCTTCAAAGTGCTGACTTCACGATTCATAGCGTCTGCTGACTCTGTGGCATCATCCAGCTCCCTCTGCAGCTTCCTGCGGCTGGCGTTGGCTCGTGTCACCTCCTCCTCAGCCTCCTCCAGTTGACGCTTCAGCTGACGCATACGGCTGTTAGTCTTCTCCGCCTGCAGACAGAGGGTTCACGTTGTGAAGGTTGACAATTTCCAAAAACATTTATCAAGAGGATCAGGAAGGATTCAAGTCAGGATCAACCCACACAATAAAACTCATTTTTTGTTCTGAAACAATCTACAATTAAGAAGTTACAGGAGGATTTATGATGAGGCTTACCTGGTCTTTGTATTGCTCTGTGTTGCGCCTCTCATCTTCCACCTGTAGCAAGACCTCTTTCAGCTTCTTCTCTGTCCGTCTGGCCAGCCTGGAGGCCTGCTGACGCTCCCTGAAATAAGCAGAAAAAGCAAATTCCATAATCCAAACCTTTTCATTTGTTTGCTTTGTTTATTGAGAGTCCACAATTGAGCTTCACACTGGCACTCACTTAGATTCTGTGTCAAGCTGTTCTTCCACCTGAGCGATCTTGGCCTCCAGGACAGTGATGGAGGATTTATACTTAGACTTGATGGTTCCCTCAAGCTCCTGCAGCTTCAGTTTCAGCTCCTTATTCTGGCGATCGAGCTGGGAGCGAGCCCCCTCCAGCCGCTGAGAGTTGCTGCGCTCGCTTGCCATTTCTGTGGTCAACTGTTCAGTCTAATACCAGAGAGATGTGGGAGAGAAAGTAGGGATCTCAGTCACACTGGTTTTGTCTCTTAACATTTTCCTCCTATTTGTTTCTCGTTCTGGTGTTGTTTTTTTCGATACTGCACGGCCTCACCTGCAGTGTGGTTCTCTTCAGACGGTCATTGATCATCTCTGTGTTGAGCTGCTCTTCCTCCAACTCCTCCTCCAGCTGGCTGATACGAGCCTCCAGTCTCCTCTTCTCGTCGGCCAGCAGAGAACTGGCAACAACATGTGAGGAGAAGTGATGACTTACATATAAAGACAACCTTATGGATTTGCCTTAACTGTATAAAATGACCCTTCAAGTTTAAATGGATGACGTTAAGTGTCTGGTTCATACTTTTTGGAGTTGCTGATGTTAACCTCTTCCTGGAGCTCATCTCTCTCTGTCTGCACCTGTCTCTTGAGTCTCTCTGCAGTGGCCACTTCCTGGAGGAAGTAGAAGATACATATTGTATATTAAGACTTCAGAGGTTGTTTGGACAGTTTCCAGTAAAAATCTGTAATATGTGGAAATTTGAGCCAAGTTAAGACAAAATGACAGTGTTGAATGGAGCCCTGTTTTAATGCCATCATAAACAAATATCTTGAAATATAAATCATCCATTTATGTGTTTTGTGACATGTCTGGTTTTAATGCAGCAGTCAAGACAATAGTCAATCCAAGACAATAAAAAAACCTGGGAGCTTGACACCAGATGGCAGTGTTTGATTGTGGTAGTTATTATTAAATGATAAAGTCCATATAATTGTTGTAGATCAATAGGAAAAAAACTGGGAGTAACAGACACAGAGTCATGATCAAACAATCAGTTTCATGTTGAAGAGGATGTACGGTTTAGTGGCATCTAATGATGAGGGTAGAATTAAAAACAAACAGCTTTCGATAGATTCAGTGTCTGGTTTGTTCATTCTGGGCTAGTGTAGAAACATGGTGGACTTTGCGGAAGAGGATCTGCTTTGTGTAGATACAAAGAGCTCCTTCTACAGTGACAAAAACACAATGATTCCTAGTTTCAAATGATTATATACAGTTACAACAATATAAATTCTTCAGACCCACCACCTTCTATTTTATCCAAATACAGCCAGCTTGTTTCCATAGTGTCTTTCGTACCTCCTGGAAGTGCAGGGTGTCTGCCTCCATGGCCTTGAGCTTCCTCTCAGTCTCTTTGGCTCCACTGACGGCTTCATCTCTGGACATACGCAGCTCCTCCAACTCCCTCATCTGCTCTTTCATCAGGGCCTGGAGAGTGGACATGCACACAGCAGCACTGAAGTTAGACACCCATCACTCTGAAGGGTATTCAATCTGTGTATGCAGTTTATTTATACAGGCCAACCGTCCAGTATTAGTCTGTGTATTATACCATCTATCAAATAATTTAGAAATGATATGACACTTTGTTACTTTCGCCAGGGAGGTTATGTTTTCAACCTTGTTTGCCAGCAGCGTAAAGCATAAAATACAGAACCATTATGCATCAAGAAGGATGTCCCATCAGAAGGATGGGACACAGGCCAGAGAAAGGTTCTGGAGCGGATCTGCTAACAAAAATGTCCCGATTTTTATATTACATTCCTTAACTTTGTGAGATATGGCATTTTCAACCTTTTCATACATTTCTAAGGCATTAATGTAGGGATGTTAAAGTTTACATTTATAGTGTTGCAATCTGAATTTGTACAATTTGGTGCAACTCCAAATTATAATACAAAAATTCAGACTTGGTTTGAGAAAATGTTTGGTCTTGGCAGAGGCATCCACTGTATTCTCTGCCATTCTAATAAGGCATTCTGTTATAGATGATCCATCTTTCATTTAGTTTAGCTCATGTATGTGTGTTGATATGCATGTGCATTCATGTTTATTTTACCTGGAGTTTCTTCAGCTGTTTGAGGGCCTCATCACGGCCCTTGTTGGCAGCATCGATCTGGACCTCAAGTTCTGCCATGTCCAGCTCCAGTTTCTTCTTAGATGAGAGCGCCTGAGAACGCTGCCTACGTTCATCTTCCAGCTCAGTCTCCATCTCACGCACCTGACATAGTCAAATCATGAAGCACTGGTTTCTTACAAACAATCAAAATGGTATTTACAACCCTTCAAGTATTTGTGGAAAAAGAAAGAAAACCTATAGTGCACGTCAGACAGTATAGGTTCTTCTCCTTTACCTGTTTAACCAGCTGTTTCCTCTTGTCCTCTCCCTGCTCATCTCTGGCCAGAAGGTCTCGGTCAAACTGAGCCTTCATAGCTTGCATGTTGACCTCAAGACGCAGTTTGGCATCTTCTGTGGTCTGCAGCTCATCCTCCAGCTCCTCCAGCTGAAGTTTCATCTCCTCCAGCTGCTGCTCCATGGCACGCTTTGACCTCTCCAGCTCATGAACCTGACAAGGATGCATGGTACATATTCAGTGTTTTTCTCAGGCAATAACGTGAACAAGTAATGGAGCAACAAGTTACTCTATATTTTTTTTTAAATGCCAGTGTTTTGTCTTACGCTCTTGCCGACATCATCTTTGGACGAGACCAAATCTTCCATCTCAGCTTTGAGCATCTTATTGGCCCGGTCCAACTCACTCTTCAGGTCTGTCATAGTCTCCAGCTCACGGGCCAGCGTCAGCGCTCGTGTTTCCTTCTCCCTGGCCTCAGCCTCGGCCTTGTCACGCTCCTCAGCGTACTGAGTAGAAATAGTTTTCTCCTCTGCCAGCATCTGAGAGACGGACAAGGATCAGATTAGGAGGGGCAGTTAAGAATCTACATGACACTGACAAAATCTGAAATAATATCAAAATGTACATTTTTGATAAGCTATGAAAAACAATCACAATGCTTTTTTCTAATAATCAAAGGAGACATATTTTTAAATTCCACATAGGGACACTCCTCTAAAACATACACAATATATTAAGAGATACAGGGTTTTAACTGCCTAACAAAAATGTTGGATATTTATCTAAAGTACAAAAGTTGCTGACGGGTGGTTGCTATTAACGTGATAAAAAAAAACCTATTCTGTAGTTCAAGACCTCCTTGTTGGGTAAAACATCAAATTGGGCTCACATGCTTAAGAAATGTTAATAGAAAATACAATATTGTCAACTTGTTAGTGCATTTTGCAACTTTTTCTAGGAACAAAACCACACTTTTGACACGATACCTGGTCAAACTTCCTCTGCTTCTTCTCCAAGTTAGAGACGTTCTGCCTCAGGTGGTCCTGGTCCAACAGGAGATCATCCAGCTCTTGCTGCAAACGAGTCTTGGTCTTGTCCAGTTTGTCGTAAGCGGCTGATTTCTCCTCCAGCTCCTGCATCAGACTATCCACCTCCCGCTGGACACGCTTGCGGCCCTCCTCTGTGCCCTCCAGGTTCAAAGCCTCCTGTTCCAGCTTCTTCTTCGTCTCTGCCAACTGAGGACATAAAAGAGGAGGAATCAGAAGGGCTGAAATATGGGAAAGTTAAGCAGCATTGCTGACTCTTGATGAAAGCATCAAAGCTACTGTGCAATAAGAAGAATTCTGACAGTTATCAAAAGATCTAACTGTGGACCAACCTGGGCCTGCAGAGCGGAGACCTGCTTCTCCACGTTCCTCTTGCTCTCCTCCTCCTCCTCCAGCATGTCCCGCAGGCTGTTCTGGTCGTTCTCCAGCTGCCTCAGCTGGGTGGAGAGCGCAAGCTTCTGACGAGTCTCCTCATGGAGCAACTCCTGGAGTTCAGAGAAGGGAAAAGAAGAGTCATGAGAAGCTACTGGCAGCTCCTGTTAGCAGTTGTACCACTGGCTTACGTCTTAAGCCCTAAGGAGCATCTTAGAGATTTATCTTCCATGGACACTTAATATATTGAAAGTTATATTGAAAGTTTAATTTAAAAAATGCTCTGTATGTTTATGTATTCAGATTTTTCTGAGTTAAAACTGTCCGACTAGTGACCTTTAATGCAAATTCAGTCAATTGGTTCAGACACAAAAATCTGAATGCCTGTCAAGTTTGGGTCAGGCTCTGTTTTTTCTTTTCACTAAAAAATATTCATTTATATTAACATGTTGCAAAGTTGTGTCACAATAGTGTGTGTCCAGTGTTAACGATGTTACAGAGAGAAACAACAAATCCAATATTGGAGAGGCCAGAACTAATGTTTAGAAAGAAACAAGAAGCAATAGTATTGACAACAACATGTGGATGTGTTTGTACCTGTGTGTCCTGCAGCTGAGACTCGAAAGAAGAAAGGTCTTTGCTGGTTTTGATGTTCTTGCCCTCTGCTTCACTCAGGAGGCTGTTCACATTGTCCAGCTCCGACTAGACAACAGACAAAGACATTATATAATTGGAAATATCATCACAAACCTCTCATTTTAAACACCATCAGCTCTGTATAAGTGCTCACACACTCCTCCACCTGTGAACCACCTCTCAGAGATCAGTACCTGTATCTTTGTCAGCTTGCTGGAGAGATCCTGCCTCTGTCGCTCACTTTCTCCAAATTTGACCTGCAGCTCTTGAACCTGGGACTCGGCCTTCTTGCGACGATGTTCAGAATCTCCCTTTCCTTGCGTCAGAGTGTTTAGCTCGATCTGTAGCTCGTTCCACTCGCTCTCCAGGGCCTGCTTGGCTTTCTCCACCGACACTTTGTTCTACAGGCACACGTGAGGCATGTTACTGGTGCTCTTCAGAATTACATTAAGCTCAGGTATCGGTGTATTCTGACCACAACACTGGTTACCCTTTTAGCCTGTTCCAGCTGCTCGTTGAGCTCGTCAAACGCCTGATTGTGCTTTTGTCTCATGTCGGCCATCTGCTGCTCATGAATCTTGGCCTCTTCCTCCAGTGTCTTCTTCAGCTGGGTGACCTCTGTCTCTCGCTTTGACCTGTAGAGAGAAAATGGGAACGAATAAAGGAAGCGATGAGGACAAAAGAACAAAAGTTGCCCTCAGTCTTTATAGACCATAGATAGTAAATAAAGATGAACAATGTGTCTCCACTTCCTCCCACTATCCAAAAATTAAGCCAAAACTATTGATCGTGGATACGCTGCATGACATAATTTGGAGCCTGAGACTGTGCAGTAGCTGTTGGGAGATGGACCAGTTATATAAATGTCCCGCCAATACACATGATCATTTAGGTTTTTCCAAAATTTGTAAATTGTACAAATGTAAATGTCTACATAAGCTTGATGGTTACCTGAGCTCCTGTTGTGCTGCTGTGGAGTCCAACGTGTCCTCCAGCTCAGTCTTGAGGGCCTCGAGCTCTTCTCCCAGGTCCCTGCGGTGTTTCTCAGCCTTGGCACGTGCCTGCCTCTCCAGCTCCAGATCCTCCTGTAGCTCTGAAATCTGGGCCTCCAGCTCCCTGATCTTCTTCTGGGCTGCGTTCTTGGCCGCAGCCTCCTCCTCTATCCTGCAGGTGAGGAGAGGGAGAGGAGGAAATGAGACAGGTACTCTGAGTAAACATTCTTGGATGTTAGAGTATTTCAAATGGGATGATGTCCCCAAACAAGCGATTTTTAAAATGCAAATGTTAAAGTTAACATATGTTACAGTGGGGGAAAGATTTTTTTTGCATCATGCAACTGAAAGTAGATTTTTCAACTGGAACATTACCTTACAATTAAATCAATAAAAAGCTAACCTGGCCAGTGCAGCAAGCAGTTCCTCCTCCTTCTTGGCAAATTGAGCTCGGAGTTCAGCTAACTGAGCCTGCAGGTCTGCAATCTGGTCATTGAGGTCCGTAGAGTCTCCTTCAAGTTTACGACGGTTCTTCTCCAACTCCTGACGCACTTTCTCCTCTTTCCTCAGACGATCTACAGGAGAGAAAACACAGAAACACAAAAGGTTCAATTTACTATTTTAATTTGTAATTACTTACTTGGGTATAATACGAGCATAATACTTTTAAATTATTTTAAAATAACTGTATCGGTGTAATTTGTTGTTCAGTGTCCAAAAATATGAAATAATGAAAACCAGATGCTTGCCTTCCAAATCAGTGATCATGGCTTCATGTTTATTTTTGAGTTTCTGTAAACTTTTAGACTTCTCTTCCTCCTCAGACAAGTTGGTGGTGAACTCAGAGATCCTTTCCTCCAGCAGTTTCTTTTCCTGAGGTTATATAAAGACAAGGTTCAAAAAAGGTACAAAAATTTGGTTTCTGATGCACTGAACATTTCAGATACTCACAGCACTCTAAAGCACTGGTTCAGAATTAGTGTGTTGTACAAGACCTTGTTAAGCTTGCTGTTCTGGTCGTCCAGCACCATGACTTCCTCCTCAGTCTTCTTCAGCTTGGCGTCCATGGTGACCTTCTCCATCTGAAGCTTCTGTCTGGCCGCCTCCTCCTCATCCAGCTGCTGCTCTAAATCCTGGATGAACAACCCAAATAATATGCATTGTTAATGCATCCCAGAGAAAAAAAAGGCATTTTATTTATCATCACATCTTACATTCTGCATCCCACAGGACTTTACTGACCGTGATGTTCTGCTGCATCTTCTTCCTCTCTGTGTGCATCTGAGTTACTCTCTCCTCCTCCTCCTCCAGGCGAGACTCCAGGTCGTGCAGGATATCCTCCAGCTCCTGCTTTCTGGTGGCCAGACGTGATCTCATCTCTTCAGCCTCGGCACACAGCTCCGTCTCTGCCTGGAGCTGCTCCTGAAGAGCCGACTTCTCAGCACTCAGCTATCAGAGGGGAGTCAATGTCAGAGAAAGACTGGATGATGACATCAGAATAATCCAACAATTGCAATAATGATGTGTGTTGGTGACAGATTTGAGGGCTGCCACAATCAAAGAACTCTCAGAATAAAATCTACAGCTCCTCTTCACACAAATCTAGAAAACCAGACTGGATTACGCTCACATGGGCTCGGTCACACAGGCTCCTACCTGTTGCTGCTTGGCTTCAAACTCTTTGATCTGATCCTCCGCCTGCAGTTGTCTCTCCTTCACCTTCAACAGCTCATCTTCTTTGGCCAGCATCTCCTCCTCCTGCCGAGTCACTTGCAGCAGAGGCTTCACCTACAGGAAAAAATAAAAGTTCATCCAACATTACTTAGACAGAGGGATTGTGGTGTTGAAAAAGGACTCTCATGTGAAACTATTAAAAAAGGCTCTAAGCAAAAAAAAATCTGAATAAAAAAAAATTGTTTCAGAGGAAAATGTCTTTATCATCTTAATTATTGTACAAGAGCTGGAGAACAGTTATAGGAAAGTTGACTCCAGATATAAAACTGAGACACAAAAATCTCAATATCTAAATCCAGAACTATAGACTTGAGACTTGGACATATGTTAGAGCAGAGTATTAAAATTAACTTTTGGAGCAGAAATGTTAAAAATTATTAAAAACACAACTGATGCACATAATGTCTCCATAACCTAATATATACCTGTGGTTGCTATGGCTACTGGCTCCAGAATTACAGATGGAAATTAGAGAAAAAAATCTAGCATTTCATTATGGAATTAAGTAGCATAATAGTTTTCCTTTGTATTCATCATTAAACTAAATGCTTTCAAAGAATTATTCAAATTATAAACAGAGTGCAAACTGCACACACATAAATAATAGTAAAGTACAGGTGTACAGATGTGTAAAAGTAATCCACCATCACATACATACATTTAGATGTTCTACTCTTCAACCAGATCTCTAAAATTATGAAGCTTTGGCAGGAAACTTGTGACATGGGGCCTCATTAAGGGGTTTGCATCCATAGTGTTGTTTCATAATCCTGTAGAGGGTTGATCACAGAATTTAAGGGGGTTCTTACAAAATTGTTGTTACTGTGGACTCCTGTCATTAATCAGCCATTCTTGGTGGCCCCCTCTCAGCTCAGGTCCCCAGACAGTTGCCTGCATTTCCTACCCTGTTGCAACACCCCAGCCTACAGCTTAAAATTAAACGGACACACAAATCTTATTTATATGCTTTTAGTTGTAAAGAGTTTTTATCTGTGTTTGCAAAATACTTTATCAAACTATCAAAATGCTGTTTATTAATGAGGTTTCTTTATGGTCATGACCATAACACTAGCATGGTCAGATCTACTGCCGCTTGAAAAACTGTAATTTCCTTCATTCATCTCTTACCTTAGTGAAAAGCCTCCACCACTGCCAGTTCCTGAGTTTGAGATAAGCTACACAGTTTCTCTGGATAACTTTCATTGCTGTCAGCTGCTGCTGTCTCTTAGCAAAGGCTCTAGAGAGAAATAAAAAAATACACTTAAAAACATAATTTAAAAAAGTGCTGTATAAAGAATTTACATATGTTGACTGAGAAAAATATAGTTTGGTGCGAGTTGATTTTCTTACTTGCGGGCCAGATATCCTCTGCACCAGGCCTGGAAGCTGATGATGACATCAGTGATCTTCATGTCTCTCTCCTCCTCCAGGTGAGCCAGGACTCCAGCTCTGAAGAACACTTTACTCTGACCGATGCGGTACAGATTGGGGTCCAGCTCTAAAGCTTTAATCTGATACAGGGAAGAGAGAAGTGACTTAGCGAAGAGTCCTGACAAGGTAAAGAGAAGAAGTTTCCCCTCATATGATGGACTGTGAACTTCTGAAAATGAGAAACTGTTATTACCATGAGCACACAGGCCTGCTTGCCGTCCATGAAGCCCTTTGGGATAGCGCTTGGAGTGAGAATTTCATACCTGAGAGACAGACAAGCAGAAATAAATAACAAAGGACTATTTTTCTACAAAAAGTACACCGACTTTTCTCGTTCATGCTTATTAGGCTGGGTCAAGCGTCAGTATGTGGCACTATTACGTTTAAGGGTGTTTTACTTTATAAGGTTATGAACTGATGGTGAAATTCCTTTTAGTGTATTTAAGTCTCTTTCCCCAAAAATATTTTTGACATTTCCTGATGAATCATTAGTTGCTGTCATGCTGTGTCCATCTACATGCTGTGTAAACTTCTTACATGCCAACTGATATTCTTGCATTTTTCCTCATGTGTTTTTGTTTTTTCTTATCTATACCCTTGGAAGATGAGACAGGTTCCTTTTTCAAGTATCTGTGTCAATCAGACTGCTTCTTTTGCAAAAAAAAAAAAAAAGAAGAAGAAAAAAACCATCTGCCGTTTGTTACCTCTGTCTGAACTCCTGGAAGACGATGCGGTTGGGGAAGCCCTGTCTGCAGATACGAATCCCCTCCAGGACTCCATTGCACCTGAGCTGGTCCAGAACCAGGTGAGACTCCAGTTTACCAGCCTGAAGGAAGAAACATACAAAGATGACAATCAAAGATTTGTTAATGGAATTTCTCCTATTGTTGTATTTGTGGATGTTTAAGAAGAACATTTCCTATAATACAGTTAATTTTCTTCCTCAGACAGGGACATGTGCACATTATTAGTTGATCAAATTTAATTTTGCTTCACAGTAGATCCTGACAGTCCTGTATTGATTAGTGAGTCCTTTGTTCAGTACCTTCTTCTCGTGGTTGGGGATGATGCAGCGCACAAAGTTAGGGTTGGTGTTTCTGAGTGTGGTCATTAGGTTACTCAGCTGCTCCTTGTACAGTTGGCCCACAGTGCGGAACATGCCCTTACGGGTTTTAAAGGCCCCATGGATGGAGTCTGACATCGCCACCTTTTCCAGACCCACAATACGGTCCACTGTGAGGACACGACAAAAAGAACAATTACATCATAACTATGTGTTTTATGAAAACATTTTTCTGTCTTAGTTTCTCAAATAAACATGTATGTCACACATGTGGATTATAAACAGAGTTTGTTCAATCTAGAATTGATATTTTACTAGCAATAAAATAAGGGACATTTTATCATCACAACCTTGTGTTGTCTAGTGCACACTTTGCATAGAAATATGAGGAAAAAGGCTAAACATCCAGTTATTTCTTGCACACCGTCAGTACGGAGTTAGCTAGTTTTAATAGATACTTTTTTAAATCATTTTGAACCTAGCTAAGAAATTCAACATTTTCTTTTGTTGTCTGACATTCTCAAACGAAGTGATACATGAGATTGTGGATTACTTCAGCTGCAACACTTACTGTCTCTCCACAGATCAGCAGTAAACTTGTCAGTAGACTGGTTGAGCAAAGAGGCAACACACTCATTCAGAGGATCCATGTTTTTCAGCAGCCACTCGTCTGCTTTGTAGTCCACCTGCAGCAGAGGAGAGCCATGTTCATGATGCAGAACTGCACATAGTGCACAGTGTATGTCAGCATGTGTGAGCCATGTTATCCTAAAGAAGTTCCTGTTTGAGACAAATATTAAGTACTTGTGTAGCTATAAGTATTTCATTAATTTTCAGCCATCTAGTAGTGTACTAATACTCAATACCACCGAGTATTTCACTTTTATGCCATTTTATATGCATGAGACCATGCATGATAACCAGTTGGTGCAACTGGCCTGAGAGATTAATATCAGAGAATGTTTAACAACAGGGATGAATTGTCTCACCCTAGTGTTTTGGGGAGGGGGACGTGTATGTCAAACTGTAAATGTTCATGTTCAATGTGCAAAAATATTTACAAGAAAATATTTTTTAAGAAGTTATCTTTAGTAACCTTTCCAGCATAGTGCATAACGCAGAAATCAGCATCGTCCTTGAGTTTCTTGGGTTTCTGGAACTTGGGGTGCGTTCCCTGCTCCTGAACCACCTTCTCCACAAACGACTTGTCTGTGGCTTTTGGGAACCAACACTCTTCATCTAGCAGAGCCAGGATGCCTGGAGGACTGGCCTGTGACGATCAGCCAAAAAACAAACAGGATGACACATGACACATATGGTTCTCTCCAGTTTAACAGGATCTCTGTGCAGGTTCATTCCTCAGCTTGTGCTACACAACTATAGTGTCACATAGTGACTTCTGCAGAAAGCATGTAAATCTGAAGTGTAATGACGGGTGAAGACAGATGGGTTATTTGTATCAAGCTTAAGGAGGAACAATAACAGGGAAACATCATACATGTTTTTCGATGAGGTCTATGCAGGGCTGCAGGTCGAGGCCAAAGTCGATGAAGCTCCACTCGATGCCCTCCCTCTGGTACTCCTCCTGCTCCAGGATGAACATGGTGTGGTTGAAGAGCTGCTGCAGCTTTTCATTGGTGTAGTTGATACACAGCTGCTCAAACGAGTTCAACTGCCAGAGAGAATTAGAAAGACAAAGGATTTTGAACGGTCAGACCATAATAAAAATTTTCAATAGTCATCATATTATATAATGGGCATTTTTAACCATATTCTCTATTAAATAACGACAACAATTTAGTTGTAAAATGAGTATTTCGTATCTGCGATTATGGTTAATTTGCTGAATAAATATCACAATGTATACACTATTAAATATCACACTGAAAATAGATTATTTTGATTTAAAAAAAAAAAAAGGGATAACAGGATGGAGCTATAGTACATCATGACTGATATATTAATTTATTATATGCTAAGGTAAAATAAGACTGCTTGGTTGTTCAGGGACAAGTTGTTCAGTTCTGCAGTTAACTGCGCTGTCACAGAAATGGAGAAAGCAGCCAGAGGGAATCTAAAATGGCTTGTCAGCTCAATCTTCTTCACATTATTATCATTGTTATACACAAGAGGCCCTCATGTCTGCAGAGAGGTGGGGCTGCAGACTCGATGTCATGGTCACTCCCTGTTCATCAGGTTCGGCCTGCTATGCATAATGGGGTTTCTTACAAATCTAAGTGAACCCTGTGTACCCCAAATCCATATTACATTTTAATGATAAGGACGTTTTTGTAGAGTATTAGGGCCACGTAAGGGATTGAGAAGTTTTTAATAATATTACTAGAATAAAGACGTAGTATTACGAGAATATAGTTGAATATTATGAAAATATAGTTGCTGAATTATTAGAATAAAGTCAATTTTAGGCTGCATGTCATGGTGGAGAGGTAATATCAGAGGATCAGTCGGTCGCCTGCATTAAAATGAGGATGATGTTATTCTTTCGGATTGGTTTCGTAAATAACAAAATACTTCATCCTTTGGCTCATCAGCACCACATTATAATAAGTAGGGGTTATAAACCTCTTTTATTTTTACTTTATTCTAATAAAAGTACCACTTTATTCTTGAAATCTTTTAGAATTTTTTTTACTTCAATATGGCTCCAATACTTTTTTCAGACCAAAAAAATGCACAAAGGAATATTTTAAATCAATTGAGGGAGATGATAAAAACAGCATTTAACAGACTCCATCTTTTCTGGTACAAACACAGAGAGACAGCCCCACTTAAAGGCTCTGTCTATGATCATAGAACCACAGTAATAATTCATAACCATCAGTGTCATGAACACTCTACCTCAAAGATCTCAAATCCAGCAATGTCCAGGATGCCAATGAAGGAGGCTCCCTGTCTCTTGGTCTTGTCCAGCGCCTTGTTGATCCTCATGACGAGCCAGCGGAACATCCTCTCGTAAGATGCTTTAGCCAGAGCCTCGACAGCAAACTCAGCCTGCTCCTGAGTCTGGGCCTTCTGCACGTAGTCCCTGCCAACCTAGAGAAAGAAATATGTCAGTGTCATACTGTTATACTAAATTTATCATTGCCTGAAAACTGCTGATCACATTTTCTTTGTTGATTTTGAATCAAGAAACAAACTAAACACCAGGTTGAAGCTTTCAATGTTCAGACAAGACCTTAATAAACCTTTGTGTGTTGATCAGTTAACAGACCTTGATTCTGGGGGTCAGGATCGCTCGTGTGAAGTCGGTTACATTGATGCTCAGCAGGTGACACACTTTCTGGGCAGCTGGAGGGTAAAACATTGGGGTCAGAATGGAGGATATAAAAGAGGGAGATGACTGAATTAGAAAGGTTTTGCAGATGGAGTGAGACAAAGAGCAATGCAGAGAGGAAAAGAAGCTGATGAGGGTGTGTCTGTGTAAATGTGTTTACCGGTGTCGTCAGGCATGGACGCCTGGTCAGAGTGACGTTCCTTCTTGAAGGACATGTTCCCCAACTGCAACACAGCCGACACCACCTTCAACAGACCTGACCAACAAAAATAAGAGATCAGTGTCTTCTTCTCTGCCCCCGCCCCCAAGATGATGCATCTTTACATGTTAAGGCAAATTCATAGTCTCCAAATCCGTTGAGGTCCACTACGGTCCTTGACGTCTGACGTCATCTACCCGTGTCTGCTAGGGTACACATGAACTCTTTTATGAGTGGTGTCCACATCCAGCCCAAAATTTGTGACCTTGCTGTCTGAACAACATATCCACCTACTGGAATGGAATGTGGGATCAAGTATGCATGTGTGGAAAACCAGCCCAGCACAGATCCTCATTTTAGTATGAATGGCCCCGAAAGAGTGTGCAACTCTCAGTGGAAGTATGGTCAACTCTTCAATGTGACCTGGTGATCAGTGTAGCATGAAGCCATTGGCAGAAAAGTGTATTGTGTCATACATGGACATGCTTGTATCATGTACATTCAGGGGAATAACAAAACAGGAAAAACCACTAGATGTCACAAGGAACCTTTGAATGACAATGTAAATTGTTATTTAAAAAATACAAATAAAAGAAGGAGGTGACAGCTACCAATTCTTTCCTCCTCAGGGATGCTCATGATCTGAAAGGCATCCATAGTCTCAGTGAACATGTCCTTGTCCTGCTGTCCTGGAATCGTCACATTTCCATTCGACAGGAAACGGTACTTGCTGTAATCCTCCAGACACAACTCAGCTGGAGAGAGGACGACACCAGATAATCATTTTAACAATATTTCTGTAAAATGAACTTGAGCCTAACAATCACAAGGGACTGCTGAGCTCCACATGGTTTAAACACAGGCGTCCTGAGGTGGTGCTTTGCAGCAGCCACTATAGTGACTGAACGGACAAAAGGGAACCTCAGTCATACTGGCCCAATCGGTCATTTCACATTCATTTATACAACTTATTCGAGGATTCCTGTTTCATGAGCGTGGCGGTTCTTGAACGAGTCTGTCACAAAGTCCAGTTTGATGTGTTTACATTGTAAAAAAAAAAAGGTTTGAGTGCTCACAGCGCAGCTTCTCCCCTGCTCCTGACAACATGTAGTAGAAGACATGGAAGCTCCTCTCCTCTTTAGCTTGTCTGATGGCTCGAGACTTCTCCAGCAGATCTGACAACATTTAGTCAAGGACACAAATGCAATTGCAGCAACATGTTTAAAATGCAGTGAGGAGGTCTCCTGATTGTCTGTGTAGCAACTCATTTGTGGTATTTCTTTGGTAATATGGAACACAAGGCACAATCAACAACTAAATGTAGACAACATCCCTTGTGTCAGACATTATTCTACTTTTAATATGTCAGTTCATATCATGGTTACATGGTACATACTCTTAAACAAATTTACAGAATCAAATGAAGTAAATGACTGCAAACATGTGGCAGGACAGAACTAAAGCTCAAACATACGGAAGGGAAGTTCATTTTTGACCCAGGGTAATCTAGCAACCCAGAAGATAAGAGTTGAAAAATTTAAAAGGAATATTCTTTTTGAAAAGATACAAGTTTCAATGTTGGCTCCAACAATATATCCATTGACATCAAAGTTGATCCTGATGAATTTTCCCTGAAAGAGAAATTAAAACATGTTTATAGGCAGCACTAAACTTAAGGTTATGTTTTATGGTTGACCCTGAAAACCTAGTTTCTCAATCAGCTCCTACAGGGCCCCCAAAACCAATGTTCCATGAAACTTAGGATGAGACAAGGGCCAAGAAAGAACCCATTAAACTTTGGAACAGATCGAGATCAGGGAGTGCATCACAAAATGTTTCATTTTTTTTAACATTGCGAGATGGGGCGCATTTTGACATTTCACAGACTTTTCACACAACAATTGATGAATCCTTGAAACAAAGCAAATTTAGGGGACTGATATTTATGAGTGTGCAGTGTATTGAATTTAAGGGGACTGTTGGTCCATGGCAGATATTAATGATCTAGTGCAGGGGTCACCAACCTTTTTGAAACTGAGAGCTACTTCATGGGTACTGAGTCATACGAAGGGCTACCAGTTCGATACACTCTTCTGAAATAACAAAGTAGCTCAGTTTGCCTTTAGTTATATATTATTATTAATGATAAATGATACCCATCTATGTGAAGACACTGATCACATTAATGATTTCTCACAATAATTATCAACAAGGACTTAACAAGGTGGGAAACAGATAATATCAAGATTCAACACTTTATTTCTAKTAATCTCAGCAATTGTTTAAATTTTCAGATGATCACTTCGACAAGATTTCATAAGAAAAATGTTCCATTTCCACTAGCCACTGACCAACCCTTTTAACAAATCATAGTCAATAGTCAACTTCAATATGAGAATACAAATTTGACAGTATAAAAAGTAAATAATTACATTTAATTAGAAACGCTTATCAAATTTCAGACACAGCTCACTGGTGAGTTGTGTTATTTTTAGAACAGGCCAGCAGGCGACTCATGTGGTCCTTGGGGGCTACCTGGTGCCCACGGGCACCGTGTTGGTGAACCCTGCTCTAGTGAGTACAATTCTAGTTTTAATATCAAAGAGGTTTGTATTTGTGTTTCTCTGTGCTATCTTCACTAGACTGAAGTTGGCAGAGCAGCTTGTTGAACTCACTTAAACATGCAATAAAATTACATTTATGTCTATTTTGGCTGGGTTTTTTTTTAAAGACTAGATCAAAGCGATCAGGGGCTTTAAGTCATTCTTACAAATCTTGAGGAGTTGTCGTTCTTGACAGTCTTTGCATTGCCGAAGGCCTCAAGGATGGGGTTTGCTTGCAGCAGCTGTTTCTCCAGTTCCCCCTGATGGAGAGGAGACAAATTAGAGCAGCAAACTATAGACTCCAATAATCCTTTGTCATGACTCTGTGCTGGACGTTGGTCAAGCAAGCACAACTAAAAATCATGCAGTTTCTTGCAGTGCTGCAAATCTTTCATCGGCAAACACAAGCACACACTGTCAATTTAATGAGCTTACAAATAAAATTCAGACTGTGGATTAAAAACAATTACCTCAGGCGACTCTATCGTTTCCCAATCAGCCAAACACACACACAGAACCCTGCACATTCCAAAACACATTCTCGCAGCAGAGCAAGCCTACTCAGGCACAGAAGCCCTGTAAGACCATCCCTGTCCATGCATGCACAAACAAGAGGACACAAGCAGCACACAGGAAGGTTAGCCAAGATCGCCCAAAGGAAATGCAAGAGTGCACTGTAACACTCCATATGTATGCATAGTACTACATAACAATGACAAAAATCAAGTCTGACCAGATTGGGAAAAAAAACCCATAGCTGCAGGGTAAGTGGGTCACCTTCATCTAATACTGACTCAAACTAGGCACAGGTGAGTCCAACCTCAGATCAGGTTACTGCTTTACTGTACTACTTTTATTCAGGGCAAACACCTTTCTTTATTCTCTGAACCCACTTCAGATTCTTTGATTAATGTGGTGTTTCGCATTTTAAATGTATCCAACTCACAACTAAAACAAAAATAAAAATCAATGTTACTGTGGTTTTTTCTTTAGTTTTAAAAGTTTGTTTGAACAATTTGGGAAATGCATTTATTTATTTTCTTGCCAGGAGATGAAAAGATTGACACTATTCTCACATCTGCACAGTGTATGACTGGGACACATATATATATATATGCTGCAGATTTACAAGAACATATGTGACAACCTATTTTCATGTTGGTATGGATTAAACACGTTTTGTTAATTATTAAATTTCAGAGAACCAGAATACACTTTGGATTCACACAGGCTAGTGGTTTGTCTCCATTTGAAATGTTTAAGCTAAGCTAAGCTTACTGTCAGAAACATCATATACTGGGCAAACATGAGGGTCGTTTCAATCTTCTCATCCCGCTGTCAGCAAGAAAGTGAATGAGCATATTTCCCAAGACAGATTGTTCCTTTGAAAGAATATTCCAGTAATTTGGTGCATTTCCTTCAACACCCAGATAAGGACAATAAAACCTTTTTCTGTTAGTAGAGTCGAGACACCATGCGTATGGAGTCAGAGAGATGAACTCACGTGTGACAACACTGCGTTACCCTGGAGAAGAGGTGAAAGAAAAGACAAACATCAACACATTTGATACCAATGTCAGTACAGATTAAATACGTTACTGCAGACTAACACCTCCTGTCACCTGATGAATCAACAAGAGAGGATTAATGAAACTTTAAATCACACACATCTGTGCTCTGCTTCACTTTGAGTCATCTGTGATGAAGGGGAGGCAGACATGTCGAGGACACGTTGGGGCCTGAAAAAGGAATGTTTAGTAGTCGCCACACATCTTGCTCAGATACACACCATTACAGAGACGGACAATCATGGAAATCTACAAACAAGAGAGGAACAGGGAGGCAGGAGAGAGCAGGGGATTCAGGAGAGGAAACAGGGTGAGGGTTCCACTGTGAACTGTGGACTAACACAAAAATAAAGAATAAAATAAAAAACAACAGGACTTCCTCACCTGATCTTTCTTAGATTTGACAGATGAGGCAACATGGGCGAGATACTGAATGACTTTCTTTGTGTTTTCCGTTTTTCCTGCTCCAGATTCCCCACTGTAAAATCGTATCAATCAGATGGATCAAATATTATTTACAAAAGATAATACCGGTATGTTGAACTTTGTGGCGGGGGTAACATTGATCCTTATTGGGCATTAAAAATTGCATTCATCCAAAAACAAGATTTCTGTGGTCTATAATAAATTGATTAGAAAACACAATGAAATTTGACCTATTAAAATGTACATATTATACAGGAATATATATGAATCTTGGCAAAACAAACAGAAAAGACTTACGTGCAAAGGATGGATTGATCCTCACGATCTGTTGGAGAAAGAGAAAGAGAAAAGTCTTTATCAGGACCAAAGATGACATTAAGTGAAGCTCAGTAATTTGTAGAATTGATAGTATAGAAAGAAAAACAGTGGCCCATCCAGCAGTTTAAAAAAATAAAAAAAGAATTATTTATTCCCAAATTTGTGGACTGTTGGTCCCCAAAAAATGATTAAATGAATACAAATTTGGTTACAGCTTAGAACCATGTTCAAATTGACACATATACACGTATCTTAGTTTATTGTAGCAAACATTGTCTACGACAGCCAAACACAAAAAAATAAGTCTGAGGTACCCTGCATCATGCTCCTGTAGGCAGTGTCTGTGATGGCATAGATGTGCGGGGGCATCTCGTGTCTCTTCTTGCCCTTGTACATATTCACTATGTCCTCAGAGTAGATGGGCAAGTACTTGTACGGGTTGACCACCACGCAGAAGAGACCAGAGTACGTCTGAGTGAGACAGAAGACGTTAATGTCAGGGAGGAGGCAAACACACAGACTCATGTGGCTCTTCTTCTTCCCATTTTGAATGCAAACGCACAACATTAGTGCAGCTACACAAACACATGCATCCACCCAGACTCACATAGATGAGACCAGAGTAGTATCTCTCCTTAAGGTTGTGCAGCACCGAGGCCTCGTTCAGGCAGGTGAGCTCGGCCATGTCCTCCACCTTGTTGAACTTGGGTGGGTTCATCTTCTGAATGTCGTCCTTGTTGACCTTCACCTGAGATTCACAGAAACAAGACACATGTCAGAAAACCACTTTGATCAAGGAAACACTGTTTGTTGCTTGTTTGAAGTAAAGTTTATTTTACTCGCCAATATTATCTTTAGATTATTATTAATTCATCAAATGACAATGCTGGTTATTTCTAGTTAAGCACTGTTTTAAAATCATAATGCTACCATGTGAACAAGGTCAGAATCAAAAGAGAAATTTGGCTTTTTCACCTTCTTGCCAGAGTCAGCAAGCTCGACCACACACTCCTCTCCATGCTCCTCTTTAAGAGAGCCGACCTCGAAGCCCAGCTTCTCAGAGGGGACCCACACCAGCTTCTTGGTGGCCCAGTCAGCCTGGGCCAGCGGGTTGTTTACCCCGCTGCGGTCCCCATATAGGAATTTGTCTGCGTCCGTCATGGTAGCTGTAGGAGAGAAAGAGAAACATTAACTACCTGACAGGATTTTAAAACCTTTCAAGAACTTTATACCTTTATATTCTTGTGTAAAGAGAAAAATACCTGATTTCAGGTCATCAGGCCATGTCACGCACTTCTCTGATTCACTTTATCTACCAATTTGTATATCTCTCAAATGCCTCTCAAATAATTGAAGCCAAAATGTCCTAGATACTAACGCTGCCATCTCGCACATTTGGAGCCAGAGGCTACGCAGTGGCAATCGGGGGATGGAGCGTGGTATCAAGATCCCACCGATAAACACGCTCAACCAATCGTGATTCAGTCTCAGCTGTCAATCATGAAGTTTTGTTTTTATAGAATCAAATAACTAATTAAAACCAAACTTTGCAGAAAATCAAGCACTTGAACAAAGATTAGTATGATAAGAACTACCCAAAATGACAGAGATGTTTTTTGATGTATTCTTTTGTATTAGATCAGTCTATGTCCCATCTACTAACATGGACTTTACTGCTTTACTGCAGCCAGTCACCGATCAGGACACTCACTCACTCACTCACTCACACACTCACTCACTCACACACTCACTCACTCACTCACTCACACACTCACACACTCACTCACACACACACTCACTCACACACTCACTCACTCACTCACACACACACTCACTCACTCACACACTCACACACTCACTCACACACTCACACACTCACTCACACACTCACACACACTCACACACACTCACACACACTCTCACACACTCACACACACACACACACACACTTCAAGGTGATGACATGTACTGTACCGTCATGAGGGTACCCGACGGGAGGTAAAGCACACGTTTGGGCACATTACCTCTGCAACAGATGTCACCTCATCTTGTTCAACTGTATCATTATGAGCATAATGCAAATTCTTCTCCTTTGACCCATAAACCTGACTGTACTGAAGCTCCTCACTCTCACTGCAGCATTAAAGAGATAGTTTACCAAACTTTCAATCCATGCCTGTGTTGATGACCCGAGGCTCAACACAGGCAGACAAAATAAAGAAGTCACTTTTCACCTGAACGCTACAGTACCACTCCATCTCTTCTTCTACCTGTCCATCCTTTATTCCCTGTGCGGCCCACATTCCTTCCTCACCAGTTCATAACATAGAATTCCACAGATTCCAGCCTCCTTTTACCCCATTATTATCAATCCTCCTATAACATCCCCAATTTCCACCAAAGTTCTTAAACGTGAAGCCATTACATACTCTACTTAGGGATGAAGAGGGCGGTTCTATGTGAGGCCTCTGGTTGTGTAAAGTAAGAGTCCTGATAAAGGGTCGGTGAAGGGATTCTTTGCAGTCAGAGACGCGGTGAAGGAATGTCGGGGGCAAGTCTGGGCATAGAGAGAAATGTCATTATTCCCCAACCACACCCCGGAGAAAGAGTGAATGCCTCATCAGGAGAAAATGGAAAATGTCCTCAGATACATGAAATCCACCACCTGGATTCAACAGCATCTTAAATAAAATCTTTACAGGATAATCTGCTAAATCATCATGGTGGAATGAAAACAGTCTGGAATGATGTTCAAGAAGTCAATGTGTGACAGGAAGTTATTCCATTCAGAAGGGAGGATTAAAATCGAAAACTTTTTAAATCTATTTAAAACTATTTTAGCTTTTGACTCTTTTAAAACAAAGCAGCGTTTGCTATTGAATCTCGACTCAAACTAATTTAGTTGGTTTAAATAGTTTTCTTCTTTTCGACCTTCAGGTTAGGAATCACAAGACTGAGAGAATAAAGAGGGCTGTAGGTGGCGCTCTAAAATGAACTGGTCAACTGATATAAATGCTTTTAAAAATGAATATTAATGAGGAGCTGTTACCTTTAAAGACAACCATTATGAACCTCATACAGTCCACTTAACACAAAACTGAGTCAAAACTAGTCAGTAGGGTGCGTTCCTCCACCAAGGCCCAACAGTCCCCTCATGAAGCCACATTTAAATTCCTTCTCCTAAACATGTCATGTTTTTCATACAAAACCATGAATTACTCTCTGAGGAATCTACGAAAATGTTGAATGCCCCATCTCGCAATGTTAAATAAGGCAGAAAAAAAAATCCTAAAATTTGAATTTTTTTTTTTTTTTTGGGACATGCCCCACCCCTTCACCAGCTGTTCAGATAAAGAAACACGCCCAGATACTCTGTAACAGAGGGGGAAAGAATATATATCATGTATGAGTTTATATATGAAGGTTTGTCCAGATAGAGCAGCTGCTTCCTCTTATGTATGTGTGTTGTGTTTATAGAGCGAGGGATAAAAGGGATCAGTGCACAAGGTGTCATCTGTGTCTCTCCTAAGTTCATTATGTGCTCAGACTCTTGAAGATCAGTGGGGGAGGAGGGAGGACAGACACACCCACGTCTCCTGGTTTCATCATGCAAGTTTAGAAATCTGCAGCTTCTCCTTATGTCACGGACGACTAAGAGCATCATGCATTTATCACACTGTAAACAAGGGCATGAACACAGCATTAATAAACCACAAAAAAGAATGACAAGATAAGGCCACAGAGAAAACTTGTGACATTCACATGTATGGGGCTTCACTGCTCAAAGCTAACCATGGGCAAACTTCCTCAGGAAGTTGCACAAACTCTGCACATTTTGACACTGTGCTTCAACAAACGACTTCTACCTCCTCTCTCCCTTGAATCCAGAGCACACAACAATATTTAAAACAAAAAAGAAGCAGCAGAACATCCATTGCATCCAGTCAAACCCCAGCTGACGTCAGGATGAGAAATACAATCTTAAGCAATATGTTTTTTCATGAGGATTTCAACAGACATGTAAGGACTAGTTTAACCACGTCTGGAGACAGAATCAACCCAGATCTCCTTGTTAACCCTCACCCACCCTCTGCACTGAGTTATCGCTGCAGATTCAGTCCAATTGTCTCGTCTATCTAAATTCCTCTGTCTTAACCTTCAGGTTTTCAACAGCATGTCCACTTTCCTGCTCTCCTGTTCTTGGCTGCCAGTCAATCCCAGCTTTATTCGGCCTTCCATGGCTCTTACCTAACGCAGAGAGCACAAGCCCTGCCATCTGCAGGCCGTGCTGCTGATACAAGGCTGCTGGGGGGGGAGTAAAGAGATAAAGATAAAAGAGATGGACATTGTTGTGTCACAGACACCAGGGATTAACCGGACTGTGGAGCCGTGAGTGAGAAGATGTTCGATTTCTTGAACGCTCTGGGTGGGGCCAGGCAGGTGGGTCGTAGAATATTTGAAACTGGCAGATGTTTTTACTTGTACACAAAGTGACAAGAGGGTGTTATTTTCTTTGCCTCAAGATGCAGCAGCGTTCGATTTCCGAGCTGAACCAAAAGAGGAAGACTCTACTCTTATCACCAAACTATTTCCACACGTCGAGTTGAAATATGTCTTTAGAAAGATCATGTTCGTTAATTCATGACAAACACAAACCCTTGTCCAAACCAGAGAGAAATCCTCCTCAGAGAATGCACAAACAATAATGTATCCTAAGGGTACACACACACACACACACAAAGAGCAGGGTGTGTGCAGATTGTGTTTAGGGGAAGAAAAAGCTCATCTCATGCAAACCACTTGACAAACAATGCAGACAATGTCCAGGACAGGATCCAAACTAGTTAAACATGAGTCTAAATAGTGAATGGCTGGGAAAGAAAGTTACATTTTCATAGCACAGGAGGGGCCTGTTTTTCCTGCTGAGCTGCTGAAGCACCACCATGTTATTATGTCCTTATAGTAAATATAAGGAGACATGCAGCCTGTCCTAGAAGCTGCTGAGGTTAAACATGCGTCCCTGCAGGCAAACTAAACACAAACACACAGTGTACAAAATAGATTTCATTTAGCATTTGAGCTAATGTGAAGTTAGTATTGATTCTAAACTGGTGTTGTTGCGGGTCAGGCTGGAGGCTGTTTGTCTTGTGAGCATCACAGAGAAAGTTGCTATGAGCTGGAGCAGATGTCAGACAGGTGGATGAAGGGTGAAGCATCTTGTGTGAAGGATAACAGAAAAAAGAAGTGGGGGGGGGTATATGGAGACGATGCAGCTGAGTGAACACGCTCAGGTTTAAATGGCCCCTCTCCCTGATGAGAACATCTGTCCAGGTGCACCGAACTAAACTTCCACCTGTTCTTTCTTCACCTTCAACTCACTTTTTCGACTGAACTGAAACAACTCGTCAGCTGATGGTTGCCATCACCCCGTCGCCTGTAGAGATGAACTAAAAACAGCGTATTCACCTGGTTCTCAGCTGCAGGCACTGTGGGAGAGCTCGGGTCTACTTCCTGTGTCCGTGTCCTGCTCCGCTGTGTTGACTGCTCAGTGTCCGGCGGAGGGAGTCCGTCATGCGGTCCAGCTGCTGCTCGTCTGGGCTCTGAGGCGTGAACCTCCGCCGCCTTTGATCCGCCCGTTTTTATTTTTTCACAGGTGAGTCCGAGGCCCCGCCCCCTCAGCGCGACGATGCGTTCAGAGGCTACATGTAAAAACCTGGATTTAAGAGGCGTCAACGTAGCCGCTTCTGAATCAAACATTAAGGTGTACAACAGAAATAATAAGAATAAGAATAGTTGTAATAGTGATAATAATGATAGTTATAATGATAATGATAATAATAATAGTTATTCACATATTCATTTTCTTAGAAATGTTCCTAAGTGCTTAACATCAAAGTGAAACGCCAATTTGTTTAAACCACACAAGGCAGCTGACTAAAAGGACAATATTGACATAAGAGATACATTAGTAAAAAGGATTAAATCAAACTAAAAAACGTATAAAACAGTATAAAAGTATGTGAAAAAGTTTATTGAATTGACTCTTCATTAAACAGACTAATTGTCTAGCTTCTTTTGAACCGCTCCTTAAAACATTTCTTCTTATGAAAGCTTTTACAAAATGTTTGTATTACTTATTTCCCCCGGACTAATCCTATTTGTTTAATTAAATAATTCTATCGAATTCATTCAAACTCTTTCTGTTGTTGTTCTGTTGTTTTATTCTCATTGTTTGCTTGTTGTAAAGCACTTTGGAACATTGTTTAAAAAGTGCCATATAAATATATTCCTTCTTTTTCTTCTTAATTTTATTATTTTTTATAAAAGTGAACTTTGAAAGCAAATAGGTTTATTTATTGTGTAGCTCTTGTGTCATTAAATAAATCACTTGGCACAAAGAAACACACAACAAGGTGGAGGGTGGTGCATTGTGCATTTATGAACAATAAGAACAACAAGAAAAGCAACTAATGTCTAGTCCTATAAATGAAGACCAGTGTCTTTAAAAAAAAAAACGTTGTCATGCATTAGTCACAGCAATAAAGGTCTTTACATTTTTTCCATAGTGATTTGCCTTGATTAATTAATTTTTTTACATCAATCATTTTGATCAGTTGGACACAAAACTTCAAAAATGAACTGTTGACATAATATCACTGTTATCACTTTTACATGGAGTGATCAGAAAAGGCATTTTTCCAGACAATACAGGTGTCCCTGAAGGCAGCATTGACAATATGAATTTGAAAGAAGGAAGAAGCAAGAAGATTTTATTGTTGAGATACATTCATAAAGTTCTGCTGCTAATAATAAACGGGCTGTGGACACAGACACACATGGATCAATATTCCATATTATATATATATATATATACACATATAAATAGACCTATATATATATATATATATATAAAGCTAAAACTGGTGGACACATCGATTAAGTTGATCAACATGAAATCTATTAGCAACAGTTTTTGAATTTCAATTTAGTTTTTTATTGCCACAGGTCAACTTTTATATTTGATATGTTCCCTCCTATAACTATTCAGTACTTGGACAATAAAGGACTCTGGGAGCTTGCACTGAACTTTTTTCATCTTTCTGACATTTCACAACCAAACACTTAAGGGATTAATTAACACTATAAATGGAAATAATGAAAATAGTAATTTATTGCAGTGTTGTTCTGAATGTCTGCACATAACTTGTGAATATGTATTTTCATATTCTGGTATCACATCTGGATATGGTGGCAGCTGTGTACAGTCTCTTTTTTACATGGCTTTAAAAAATGGGCACATTTATAAATCTAATAAAAGCAAAGGAACATTAACATGAGCTCCTCTGATCCTTAAAGTTTCTGAAAAATAATCAACAGCCTCAGCCTCTTTAGACAGACGGAGTATGCTGAGGGAGTATGTTGAGATGTGTTCATTGTTGTAACAGGAGCAGGGGTGTGGCACTGCTGATGTGTCCAAGGTGGAGATTTGTCAAAAAGTGGAGACAGGAACTAACTCTTAAGAGGATTCATCAACATGTTCATTTGCTGTCTGGGAAATGTTTTTGTATTTAAGTTTCAATTGTTTTATAAATATAAATCAATGAGTACATTTACTGCACAAATATACTTCAGTATATATAGACTCTATTCTCCAGTGTTGTATTCTCTCTCTAAAACACAAATTAAATCTCACAGAAGCAAAAGAGACCTAAGGTAAGTCACCACATCTACCAAACAAGGACAGATGGATACCTGCACTCATCCACCAATGAGCTTTTGGTTTAATTTCCTACCATATATGGTCAGAGAGAGCAGACAGAGAGAAACAGATCTGCAGGGAAGAGAAGTGGAGGGAGGCGTGGTTTATTGTTTTTTTTTTTTTGCTGAGGTGTAAAGTTTCTTTTCAAACCCTGTCATTACCCCCGAGCCCCTATCCTGTTGTAGTTCCATCACCCACCCACCCACACACACACACACACCAAAGATGGGCTGTTGAAAATATAGGGGCAGCGTGTTGCAGCATGAATGAAACACACACACACACACACACACACACACACACACACACACACACACACACACACACACACTAACACTATAATGTGTAGTGTAGATGCACTTTGTGGTGTTGAATGATGTTTATGACTGGACTGCAGAGGGACACATTATCCATGTACGACTGAATATATTCTCAAAATGTTTAGTTCTAGCACATTTTGTACTTTTATACTTCAAAAAAAACCCAGTGCCCCCCTGGCCAGCCCCTGGATCCTCCCCTGGTTCTCATTTGCATCTGTTGGTTAGTTAGCAGGATTATACAACTGATTGTCATCCACCCACACACCAGAGACTCTTTTAAGTGCAATAAATCTGGAATATCTATGATCATATTCCTCTGTCTGTACTCATTTGCATTAGTTTAATTGTGTTGTTTTTATCATTGTTTAGTTTGAGATTCTATTTTATTGTTTTTATTTCATTGTATTTATTTGCTACTTCTACTTAGTTTTAGATTCTATTGTTCTATTGCAATGTTGCTTCCTGGGACCTTAGTTTCGCTCCCTCTCATGTACCTGACGTTTTGGAATGACAATAAAAACTTGAATCTTGAAATTCTGTGGAAGGGAGGGACATGAGTGAAGGAAGAACTCATACAATTCTGGTACGCATTCAGAGCAGGGGGTGGATGTTTTTTCACTTTCTGTTTTCTCGGAGGATAATTTATGGACCTTGATGACAAGTCAGAAATGATTATGGACTGATATTTATCAGTGGGTTGAATTTGGTGCAGATCTAAATGAAATTCTGGATATGTGAATATAAATGTGGTTTCATTGGGGGACTGTTGCACCTTGGAAGAGGAAAGAGCTCTACTGAGTGTCATTCTAGTTGTTTTTGTTCTGTGTTTGGTGCAGTTGTGTTTTGGCACTATTATATAGTATTTAATTTAAAAAAAATGATATTTGCAAAAGACTTAGTAACTGATTTTTGAATAGAGCCTTAAAAATAAAGTTTAAGTCATAACCTCCTAAAACTGTGCTACAAGTACTTTCAACAGCTCAAGCTGCAGTTAACATGAAATAAAAGTATCCTTCATTCTGTGAAGTATCTTATTTTAGATCTGTGTGTATATGAAGAAATACAAAAGCAGCCCAAGTTGAAAAATCTAACGTAAACTCCCTCTTTTTCACTGAAATATGCAGAATTAATAAAACATGTTTGACAGTGGAAGGTGTATGGACCTGTTGGTTCATTTTTGCAGCCACAGGGCACAGACTGTTGTTACACCACTTCACATAGAATAACGCAGCTTCCTGCAGCTGACTTCAGGGCTCACACACCTCACAAAGCCCTCAGTGAAAGCTGATCACATCTTTTTTCTCCTGCAACAATGTGGATACCCTAACAGCCCCAAGTATACCAGAGAAAGTGAGCTCAGTTCAAATCTACATGCTCTGTTGTTGCATAAGGAGCTGAAGCAGAGTCATGTCAAGTCAAGTCAAGTCATACAGGTTAATGTGGTAAATTTCACTGAGGGGGAAAGTGCAGAAGCCACAGCAGAGGAGGAGGGATGAGACTGTGTTTATCCAGGCGTGTTTGAGCACATCAGCTTGTCAGCGCTGAACAGAAAGAGTTGATTTTTCTCTTAGTAAGGGTCACCTATACCGACGAATGAGGCAAGTAGAAGTTCAGGGACTCACACTCACAAACACACTTTTTGAAAATCCAACCCAATCAATCTCCACTGGACGAGACTTGAAGGATTATTTAACAGAAGTTTGAAAATGTCAGATGTGAAAATACCAACCTGAAGGCATCGCCTCAGGTTACAAAAACAGTGAGTGAAGGAGTGGTGCTCCCTGCTGTGGACAACATTGGAAACTACAAGCGGAAGTGTGGAGAATATTTAAACTGCATTTACCATTTTTAGTGTCGTCAATCATTTGTATATAAAACATGAGAGAAACTTGCCAGGTGAATAGTTTCTACATTTTTCACTTCAGTCCGATTTCATCCTTACTGTGCAGTCACAGTAAATAAAGCGGGAGGGGCATGTTATTTTCTGAGGTTTTTGGCTGTTAATGATTTTCACAGTGGAGACTGCCACCTCGCTGAATGGTAGATGTTCTGCAGTCTGAGAAGAAACAACCATTCACACACACACCTACAATTTAGACTCTCCAGTTAACATAACCCGCATGTCTTTGGACTGTGGGAGGACGCCGGAGTACACAGGAAGACATGCAAACTCCAAACAGAAAGGTCCTGGCTGAACCGAGGTTCTAACCCACAACATTCTAGCTGCTGACCACTGCACCACTTTGTTTCATAAACACATTTCAATTTTTTTTGTTCTTCACGAAACACCCAGTTGGAAAAGAAAGACCATGACCCATCGACTTTTTTTACGAGTTTTTATTTATTTTATTTTTAAGTGTTTTATTGTTTTTTTTCTCCAAAAAATCCTGAGGTATTCACAATATAATGGCATTTATTCTGTTTGAAATGACACTGGGGGGGGAATAAAATACAGCCAAAAACAAAATAAAACAAAACAATCAAACAAAATTCATAAAAGAATCAGGCTGTAAAGCTGTGTGGACTGATACAACTGTCGAGACAATATATCTGAGGTGACGTACGCACGAGAAGCCTTTTGGACTGCAACAGCGGTGAATGAAGTCGACCCCCCCCTCCCTGCTAACTTAACTAGCGAATTCATGCAATCTAGACAGAGAACGGCATTTTAAAAAAAACCAAGCAACAAACCTCAATGATACGTTAGAGCAGGTGAGTCCCACATCGCTAACAGAGGGCGTGCAGGTTAATAACAAGCCAATCAGTCCACTATTGTAGTAGTTATCATCAGCTCAAATACATTAAACCTTTAAAAAAATAAAAGAAATAAATCTAGTCTGCTTTGTAGTCGGCATTCATTCATTACTGATTAAAAACCATCAAAGTTTCAAACAATACAGAGTTCAAATACGCTGTGCTGTGGTTTGAAAGCATCAGCGCTTTGTGTCGGACCATCTCAGAGGGTGATAATGGAAACGGTGCATCTTAATATGAAGCAGGTTTCTATTCTCACCTGTTACTTTGTAGAAAATGTGTTAGTGTGATGACTTTGATTACAACATTTTGCTTTTCTGTACACAATGGTAAAATGTCAACCAGAGAGACCACTCCTCTACCTTGAGTCTTATTTGCCCCCACATAAAAAAAGCAATACACATAAAAAAAAAAACCAAACAAACATAAAACAACATACAAATGACCAATAAATAAATATCAGTGAGAAAAATACACTGTTGAATCATTTTCTTGTTCTGTGCCACAGATCTATATGATTGATAAAATAACTGCTGTGACTAAGTCAATAAGGAAAACACCCGATATTCTCCTCTCTGCACAACAATCCCCCAAATCTGCAACACAAAACAAAACGAAAATAACAAAATAAAACCCATCACAAGTGCAACATCAGTCACGACAGTCTCAGCATTAAGGAAAAAAAACAAGCTCTGGTATTAGACCAATCAGCTCAATACTACAGCATCAGACAAACCAGAAAGAATAAAAAATAATAATCATCAAATAAAATACAAAATAAAATCCAAAAAGCAGTGGGCAGGGATGAACGGAGGGGGAAAGCATAAAATAACAGCACGCGATTTATGACCCTAACTGGGGTAACAAGAAATAAACTGATCATGATATCTGATCAAAAGGAAAACAATATATAATAAAAATAATAAAAAAATACTATTAGACTTTCAGTTCAGAGGTTATCTTTACGTGGCGGTTTAAATTCGGTGGAAAAACTCTACAGCGTAAAGTGAGAAAATGGCGATGCCACCCCGCCAGTGAAAGAAACCTTTAGATGCTCTCTCTCTCTCTGGGATTACCCATTCATTTCTTTGTTCAATTTGGTGTCATCTTTGCCCTGAATAATAATAATAATAACAAAACAATTATAATAATAAAAACAGTAATAATAGTAATCATAATAATCCAAATCTAGAAAACAACAAACAAAAGTAAAAGCTAATAATAATAATAATCACCATCAATAAAGACTTTTGGTAAACAAATAAACATCACACACACGCTCACTGCTCGCTCACACTGCTAAATGAAAAGAAAGACACACGGCACATGAATGAGGGGAAAAAGGACATTTTCAAACAAACACTGTCTGCCGATAAAGATACAGCTCCTTCTCCTCCCCCTGCTCTTCGTCATCTAGTTACGGGTCCAAAGTGAAAACATATATTGCAAAAATTGATGGAAAGAAAAGGCAAAGAACACAATGAAGTCGAAATTTTTGCAAAAACAAAAAAAATACAGACTATATGTGTAAAAATCATAAATAAGGATAAAGTTTTGTGCATCCCGCCCCAACCGACAAAAACCCCAAAACAATAGCAGTTACAGCGTGACAATAACATGCAATCGATATACTTTACAGCATTGATCTGTATCTCCCCAAAATCTACAAACCCCAGTCTAACCCACATCCCTCCCAACCCCAGTACAATCCTTAAATATTTGTCAGTTCATTCAAAACATCTCTCGCTCTGGCATTTCTCTGTGAGCTAGCTGTGGGCGGAGGGGGCAACCAAAAAAAACCTAAAACACAGCGTTGCTAATTGCGGTTTATCTGTATGTACAGGAGGCCTTTTCCCCCATCCAGGCAAGCTGACATGGTTTGAATGACTGCATAGTGAAAATGATATTTGGTTTACTTACAGATGTGGCGACAACACACGCACACTCTCTCACACACACACACACATGTTCTCGTTCTGTGCCAAGGCACAGCGCAGGTACACGCTATGAACTAGCTGTTTTTATACAGCGCTGGCCTTGTACACAGCAAGCTAATATACACATAAAGCCAGTGTTGGCAGTAGCTAGCATTGCTGTGTAGAATGGTGTGTGTGTGTGGGCTGGTAATCAATTTGTTTCCTTACACAAGTCACATAGACGTGTCATAAGCACATCTGGGTTGATTGGTTTTAAAGAGGTGTAGCGTGGCACCATCGCCCGGTCAGGTGTTTGGATGGAAATGCACGCTAACAGCAGGGGTGAGCGAGCATGTGCGTGTGTTAGTAAAATACAACATCAGCTTAATAACAGAGAACCTCAACAGTGGGAGACTGGGTCCAGCTTTGTGTCAGGACACGTTAGCTGAGACACACAGAGAGAGACTGAACAGTGAACGTTACAGTGAGAGTGGGTTGCACTGTCTCTTAGCATGATTATAGTTAAAACTGCACCAATGATACAACCTCAGGCCGTGCTGCCAGCGCAGCACAGCTGATGGATGCTAAGCACCAGATCCAGATTTATATACAACAGTTTGAATCAGAGGAGGCTGAGCAGTGAGCCACTGTCCTCTCCTGTTAGATGGAGAGTTTAAGAGAGCAGAGCAGCCCCGTTCACTGCTGAAGGTAAACCGTGGCTTTAGATCAGGTCCAGGGTCACAGCTTGGCCTCAAGATTAAAACCAGACAAAGGCTGAGCTAACGGAGTTGTGCCAACTCTGTCTCATCTGCTCAGGGGCCTGTATCACGAAGCTGAGTCGAGCTATTTGTGGTCAGATTTATAGGGGTAAATCTCCATGGTAACAGAGAGAGCTATCAGGTTAACTTTAACATGTTAACAGATTGTCCAATCATCAGAGACATATCTGGGAGACATAAGTTAGTGAGTTACAGTCAAGGTGTCTCTGCCTCTAATGCTTCAAATGAGGCCATTATTAAAGTCGTTATGGACAAAAAATATTCAATTGCCAGAGCTGCTCTCTAAAAAGACACATTATATAGAATTATTTTGAGCCTGATCCTACTTTATTCCAGCTGTGTGATGATATCGTATAGTAGTTTTTACTTTATTCTATAACATTTGATTGGCTTTTAACTGAGCATTCTGCCTCTTTCTTGATAAGGTGGGTTTGTGAAACCTAAAAGAGAGTTAGACTGACATCCGGGCGGCACTGTGTGCATGTGCAGCGCGTGACGACTGTGACGCCGATCTGCTGCGTTTCACGTGCATCTGTTGTTCATACAGGGACCGTGTTCGCTGTATTAGCTGCTACATGAAGTTTCTGGTATGACTGCAGTATTTCCTAAAAGTATGGCTTTATACACAACTACATGCCAGGACACTACAGTATCAAGCTGTGCATCCTTCACTCCTGCAATAACAATGAAAACCTTGTTAAGTGACGTGCATGTGTCGCTCCCTCATCCAGTGTGGCCCGGGTGTTAGTTTAACTTACTTCCTGACACAGGTCATTGGTTAATCACTCACTGAGCAGAGAGATGAGTCGGCTGTTTTTATTGCTTGGCCCTCGTAGTGTGTTAGCACTCCAGTCTCCCCCTGTACAGTATATGACACGCACGCACACACACACACACACACACAGTACTGCTATACTACAGCACCCCCACCCCCCCTCTCCCACTAGCTATAGAGAGATTTCATATATATAATCATAGCTGAGAGTAATCAATTATAATGTCAATAACAATAGTCATAACAATAACAACAACGCTTTCGTATTTTTGTTGAGTTGTGGACACCTTTGGTGTGAACTGTCAAGGTTGTCAAGCTTGCAGGCGACCTGTGGACAGACAGAGGGATGGATGGACGTGACAGAGCATCCGGACAGACAGACATCCCCTCTAATCATATCTACACTGTACAGAAATGTATCGTGACGATGGGATACAGACAATCGACTACTACCATGACACACAAAGCTACATTTGAGGTGAGGTGTGTGTTTATAACGTGTGTGTTAGTTTGTCTTGTGACGCTAACCTCCCTGCATTTTCTCTTCTAATCCACCTCGCAACCTCTCACTTGCTTTTGCCCTCTTCACACTTGCTCTTCAGTATTTGGTAACACATGTAGACTTTGCATTATTTCATTTATTTGGCTTGAAAGAAAAATTAATGAAGTATTTATGCTTTGGGGAAAAAAGGTGACAGCAGCGTCTAAAGCAATAAAACATAGCAGCAGTAGCAATGTAATAAATAAAATAGTTTCAACAGAACATCATAAACACAAGAAGGTAACCTACTCGCTAGAATCAAAATTGGTAGGTTGGTGTAACAATGAAAGCTTTTTACAAAAAACAGCTGGCCTCAGAGCTCAGCAGCCCTGTGAAACTCAGCCGGATGTTTTCCTTCCCTGTGTCCTGTCTCCTTTTTCAAACTCTTACTTCCTGTCCTCCAACTCCAGTCTGTCTCAGACGTTTCATCAACATCCTATTCCACTTTCTTAATACTCCCCATCTTCCTTCTCACCTCACTCTGACTTCTCCGCTTTTTTTCCTGTCCTTCACATATCAACTCATCTCTTCTGCCATCTTGACAACATTCCTGCATCTCTCATCCTCTCTCTGTCACTTTACAGTTTCCTGTCTCAATCAACGCCTCTCCTCAGGTCTCTGTGTGTAGCAGTGATTTGGTTTGGTGCATGATGGGGTACAGGAGCTTTGAGTCAGGCTTTGGCTATAGCCCTGTACCAGGGGAGGCAGTAGGACTTTAGTCAGTCAGTCTCTGTAAACCAGTCCTCTGAAGGTACGTTAACCAATTCAGGAGAGACACACAGTCACTTTCATCTTAATAATAGTCTAGGTCAGGGGTCTCAGAGGCCAATTATCTGGGGGCCACTGGTCAGAGGGTTAGGGTTAGGGGTTAGGGGCTCGTATTTCCCTCTGTTCTCGCTCATATCTGTGATACTGCTCGACATGGTTTGAGGAACAATGCTGCTTCAGAATGTTTTCAAGTAGAACAGAAAACCAAGAAGGTTTTGTTTTACCCCAGTCCATTTGTTTGTTGGTTGTCTTGTTTGTTAGTGGAGAGGTTTACGCTAAATAACTGATTGGATCTCTGATCATTTATCCAGGGGGAGAAACAACAAAGAAACAATTATGACCCTGAGAATCTGCAGAGCTTGACATTTTAACTATTTTCCAACACTAAGAAAAAGAGAGGGGAAAAACCCATAGGCCTACAGTAAGAGACTGACGCACACAAAAACCTCAGGAAAGGTATAAAACAAAAAAAAAACCAACGATAAATTGGTGCTGTTTATCAATTAATTCTAAACCTGGGCCAGTTGACTGAATCCCCTGCTCTTCAAAAAACACTCAAATATTCTTTCACAAGACTTGTCTGTGAGGTTGCATAATGTCAGGTCTAAATCTCTCGGCCTCCACCAGCAGCAAACTACGCGCAGCCTTTGGTCTGAAAACACTGTGGAGCAGTACAATACTCTAAACAGCAGAGGCAGACAGAGAGGTGGACAAAGAGGAAGAGGTAGACAAACAGAGAGTGAAGTCAAGAAATACTCCACAGGTTATAAGATCTGCTCCATTTAGATCCTTTGTACGAGATAAGCTCTTGTCCTCAGTCCTCTCAATGAAAAAGCACTTCTCCATACCTTGTTTTTTTTACCTCCAACCTCTATCTCGTTTCTTGCACCAGTAACAATAATTCAGTCCTTCAAATGGTCATCAACAAGCAATCATCTCCCGTCCTCAAATTTATCTCCAGCGCTTTAAAAGAGTTGGACGCTACTCTTCTCCACCTCCTCTTCTCTCTTTTTACTATCCCTCCATATATCTTTGACTTCTTCTATCTCACAAAGAAACACAAAAACTGGAATCCAACACTAATTTTTTTGTGATTCTTTTTCGTTGTGTTTTTCCAATTATGCAGCTAAATACAATGACGATGATTCTAAACATGTTTCATAGCACAGTTAATAAGAATTACTATTGTTAAGTGTTAAAAATGAGCCAACAGGTGAATTTGTTTTTGTTTGTGTTAGAGCTGTAGTGTAAAGATGAATAAATGACTAGCAAATATAATCTTATGAAAACAACCGGTGACTGTGTCAGGATATCTCTCACACACGCACATACATGAAAATACTCACTCACAGACACAAACACACACAGATACAGCCTGAGAGTGTGTGATAGTAGAAACACCTGAAGAGCTATAATTGCACTGCGGTGTCCTCCTTAACGTTTATGTACAAGAGTGACCTGTGAGTGCTAATGTAGCAGATGCTTTGTTCCAGTGTGTAGAGACTACGCTGTTTACTAATCCAATAGCTCGGATCAATGCTGGAGACAGACGTGTAGGTGACAAAATAATGACAAGTGTAGGAAATGTATAAACACATAAAAGACACACACAAGTTTGCATTGAAGTGTGTGTGCGTGAGACATAGTGTAACGAGATGTAACAGTGGGTACGTAAAAGAAGCTAACTACAGTGTCGGTCCCTTTTCTGCTCCCTCCTCCCCGTGTCTGCCTGTCCGGATATGATGTCATTACAAAGAGAACCACCTGTGTCGTCTATCCATCCATCAGTCTATCTCTTCGTCCATCTGTCCATCCAGAGTCCTCCGTTGCTTCCTCCTCTTCTCCATGCTCTGCGATGGACAGATGGACTGGTGGGCTGGGTCTAACGCTAAGCTTAGCTGATGACGCTGGACTAGACTAGGACAGACTTGAGTCTGGGCTTGGCAAAGCTAAAGCTAGGCTAGACTAGCGTATGGCTAAGCTAACGTCGGGCTGGGCTAGGCTACCTACTGAAGAGCGAGTGGAGCTGGTGTTGATGGCTGTAACACTGGCTGCTGCGAGGCGACTCGGTGCGATCCATCACCGTCTGAAACCAACCGGCCACGTCCACCTCCAGCACCTCGTAACGCTGGATGAAACTTAGCTCCTGGACGAGGGAAACAAAGAGTGACACAAATAGTTTAGTTAACGTTGAGCTTCAAGTAATTCTGGTTATTCTGGCAATTGCTCACTCTGACTGGTGACTTACCAGCAGCTGGTGATATTTTGGCCTTTTTCTGTGATCCTTTGTGAGGCTGTGGACGGACATACACATCAAGTAAGGCGTTAAAAAATAGATTTGAAAATGATCAGCTTTAAGTAGAGTTTGCGACTCACCAGTCTTTGACGAAGGACTGGAAGTCGAGGGAGAAGCCCATGCCGAGAGGCAGCAGAGGAGGATCTTCCTGCAGCACTTTGGTCAGAACCTCAAAGTCTGTCTTGCAGTTCTTGTAGGGAAACTGTCCTGTGGCCAGCTCCACCTACAGCACACAAGGAACATCCACTTTGCTGACAATAAATGCTTGGCTTTTTTGTAAAGAGACTGTTTAAATAAACCACACAAAAAGTTACTTTACAGTTGATGAACATGTATGTTGGTTTTGTCAGTTGTTTGATGAAATAAAGTATCTTACTTTCATGAGCAAACTTGTTTTTTAAACCATTATCTGAAACCCAGTTATTCTAGTTCTTTGAATCATTAAATCAAATAAGTGCTTATTATTTACCTAATATTCACATTTAAGCTCTTGTCAGCTCTTATCCTGCAGCATCCATTCCTAAGTTTGTTCTCATCTGCTTCTACTTTATCTCATAGTATTCATTTTGTCTGTGAGGTGGACAGGTGTTCCTTTGGTTTTTTAGGCCATGTGACTCAAAATGACATTTGTCGCCTTCACCTCAGGCCTCACACTCAGACATTACAACAGGGGATTTAATATGAATAATACAATGAGATTTTAAATGTACTTCAACTGGATTGTTTGCATTTCTTTTCTTCACATTTGAAAAATTGTCACGTCAAAAATGTAATCAGCCCTAAGAAAAAAAAAACCTGAACAAATCTTGTGGAACACCGGATTAGTGATTATGGCACCCAAGACTGACATTTTTTCTATATGGTAATAAAATGATGGTCGATTTACCAGAGAGATGCCAAGACTCCACACATCTGCTCGGATGTCATAGTCAGGTTTGGTTGGATCTGGAGGGTCTATTCTCTCTGGCTGCAGGTATAAAAAAAAAAGACAGGCATCATTATTTTATTAGTATATCTGTGTCTGTATCATGTGCAAACTATTAATATAAAAAAACATTTGTAAACCTAAAAACACAAACACATATGAAATTAATTTCTATGTCTATGCATGTCTTTAGTGAGCTTGTAAGGGTGTTTTGAATGTATTATGTGGGGGTTTCACTCACAGCCATGTAGGCGGCACAGCCAGCACTGCGGGTCTTGGCCTTGGAGTCGACGAGGCGTCCACTGATGCCGAAATCACAAAGTTTGATCTGACCTTTAGCGTCCAGGAGGATGTTGGAGGGTTTGACGTCCCGGTGAATGACACCATGCTTCTCTTTTAGGTACTGTAACGCTTTCACTATCTGGAGCAGAAACACACACAAGACCAAACATTAATAATAAAACACTCGAGTGAACAGCGTGACACTTTTCCCATCTCTATACGAGTTTCTTCCACTTACTGCCACTGTCATCTTTCCTAGAATTCGCTCTGGGATGGGGCCCTGGATTCTCTTCTTCAGCTTCTCCGCACATGTTCCCATTAGTTCCATGGCAATGAATACATCCGTCTGAACAACACAGACACATGTCCATCTTTTACCAGGTCAGGAGGGGAGCTAACTGAGTTATAATGCTCTATAAATTGTATAAAAGTGCTGCAGTTACTTTGTCTTTAGCTGTAAATTTAGTTTATTGTTAAGCATACAGACAGTAATGTATTTTGGGGACACTTACGTTGGTAACTATGGCGCCGTAGCACTGGATGATATAAGGGCAGTCGTGACTTTTCAGCACCACGTCCAGGTCCATCAGGATCCTCTTGTTCTCATCCTTGTTTCCTGTACGACGCATTTGCTGGTGACACACACACATTAGGATATCACTAAACATAGACCACAGCAGTGAACTGACTGACTGCTAAATTGTTAAACAGCCTGGATGGCTACAATTAAGTCAACTCTTAAATAGGAGGGTTGTTATATGGGGTCATTAGTGCTGCTGTGTTTGTAAACCAGTCACAATTAAAGCACAACAGAAAATGAGAGCGTGTGACCATGGTGGAATGATCATCACACTCCTATTTCTTCTTTAACTGTTTCCCATTTGTATGTATTCATGATGCCAGGAAGACTAAAGCTAATGGGAATTCTGTTAAAAAAAACAATCAACTTATGGCGTGGGGCATAAAAACATTTCCCTGGAGTGCAGAAAATTCATTTCCCAGTAAAGAGCTTGACGCTTGACTCATATCAGCAATATCCTAATGTGTATTTGTAACAACCAGCCTCTGTGTTACATTAGCAGAATCAAACCAAGACAAAATATAAAAAGTGGGAGTGCTGGAGAACAACAGAGCATCTGTTCTTCAGCAGCCCTATCTATTATGTGATTCAGAATTGTTTTGCCAATATCTTTGTTAAGTGTAGAACAAGCAAAAATACAGGTTTGCAGCTGATTTCGTTTCGGTGACAGATGCTGAGCAGCTGTTCTTGAAGATGCCAACGGTTTGCTCTATCTAACTTCCTCTGTCCTCCCTGGAAATAATACAACTGACATTACTACCAACTAAGAAGCCAACATCAGCTTTTGAAGCTGGATCCTGTGCACACCGTACGCTGGTTCATTCACAATGAAAACAGGCAAGAGCAGGTGTGTCTTACTTTGACGGCGATGACATGGCCCGTCTTCTTAAATCGTACTTTGAAAACCTGTCCGCAGGTCCCACTGCCGATCTCCCCCTCACTGATCAGGTCTGTCACCTCGGCTGGATACCGCTGTGGATGCACAAACACAACAAGATTATAGATCCTGCTTTTTACTGGTAACAAAGGCCATTCAGATCTGGTATTAATATCCGTCCTGATAAATCTGATCACAAGTGGACACCTGACATCAAAATGCATCCTGAATGTGTCTCCTGTGACCACTTGTGATTAGATCACAGTTCCTCGCTCTATATATAAATAAACACGTACATCGTTTAGACCAAATAATGTTGTTTTTACCCAGTCTGTGATTACAGCTGACAAAGCTTGTGGTGTGTGTGTGTGTGTGTGTGTGTGTGTGTGTGTGTGTGTGTGTGTGTGTGCCTGAGTGTCAACACTAGGGGGAGAGACGGAGATGTGGTGGTCAGTGTTGAACTTATGATCAATGAGAGGGGTAAAAATTGTTTGATTCATTCATTGTGAAACTGTAGGGGGTCACATGATGCCAGCTGAGTAGGTGGTCCTTCATATTTGTTACCCAGGATGCATTTGTGCTCACAACAAAAAGAACATAGCGACATGTGTCCCACACCACCTCAAAATGTTGTCTGAGGGATCTGATCTCAGACTGTGAGTCCAGACCTGAACTTAAAGCTGACCACTTGTGATAGGATTACTCAGGAGAGATGTTAACACCAGCTCTGAGCGGGTCACAGTCAACTGAATGTTGTTTCTTTGCAAATCACTTCAAGTTGAAAATTGCACAGAGAGACCAACTCTAACTTCTGCAATGTAAGGCAGCGATAAAACCATTTGGGTCACTCAGTAAAAATTTTTTTGATGCTTAATTAAGATGCTCCCCCACAGACCATGACTCAGAATACCAGCATCATTTTTCATGCTTTTTAAACATTAAATCATCAGTGATTCAGATACTGTGAGTGACATCTCGTTGACAACGTTATGCAGCACCCACTCAGAGCTAATGAGAGGAAGTGAAAACAATCTGGAGTGCAGCGATGAGTCACATCATTTTCTCAAGCTTCTCCAAACCCTGACTGGCCTTGACTATGATACTGAACCTGGAGGCTGAATGAGAAAAAAACAAAAGACAACACTACTTAATGAGGCCATCGCAGTCAATCTCTTTGTTATGATCTTGTTCAAAGAGGGAGAAAAGCCGGGGGGGGGGGGGGGTCTGTTGTTTTTCTGATTGAGAAACCCTCAAGGACACTTGAGGTTTGGATGTTTGCTATGACAGTGTTGTAACCTTGGCCTATTTAAACGATGGTCTCTGAGCTCACTACACAAACATCAGTCAGAAACATCACCAGCTGACAAGGAATGTGTGAATGTGTCATGTCCTAATAACCTGAAACTGCATTTCACTGTCGTGAAAAAAATTATTTTTCTCTTTCAGAATCCTGAAGGAGACAAAACAAGTGTTAATGTGTGTCCCCAGTCTCAAGAAAACACCAAAGCCAGTATTGTTTTAATTAAATGATCTAATTAAATGATCTATGTTATCTATCTTGTAATACCGCCGCCAAGGAAGTTGTGTTTTCGTCAGATTCAGGATTTTCCCCCCCCACATTCTTCAACATTATTACATAAGACATTTTTACCATTTTCTCCAGGAATTAATAATGGATCCTGAGGAACAAATCAATCATCTTTAGGAGACTGATATCTATGAATGTGTTTGAATTCAATTTTATTAAATTGGTTCACAATTAGGAAAATAAAGATTCTCAACATATGTATGAACATAACGTTTTTAGGTGTAGAGGATTAGCAATTCCAGAGTAGAAAAACTTAACATGTGTCTGTTTGCACATCTCACCTGACCATCAATCTTCAGATAACCAGTCTGTTTCATGATCTCCTGCAGTTTCTGATCAATCTCTGCACTGTGAGGACACAAGAAGACGCAAATACATTATGAGGTATGTTTTAGTGTGAAAACTGTTGAAGTCAGTCACTGTGACTGTAACTTTGTCTCCATGTTAAAATCAATAATTCTCCTCTGTACTCAAAAAAAGTGTTGCACCCTCTCATCTGTTTCATTTTCAACCCAGATTCAGATTCAAAAGTTTTTTTAAAGCAAAAATATTTTACCACCCTCATACAAAAGAAGTAAGTCATTCAATTCTATGATGTTACACTTTTTTTCCAAAAACAAAAGTCCTTGTGGCTGTCCCAACATTATAGTGAATGCAGTTTCTCATTTCTTATCGCTGACATGGACATCATCATGTCGACATACTTCTCTAAACTCTTCTGTAGGCCATACGGAGGGGTGGGCAGGGTGAGCATGTGTCGCGGGCGGCTGGGGTAGGGGTGGTGCTGAGGCGAGCTCTCTGAAGACGATGAACTTCTGCCTCCGTCGTTGGCCAGTGGCAGCTGGAGCGCTGGGAAGGGGGGGTGGGGGTAGACACGAAACATTAGAGAGAGACAGGAGAGCAGAGGGCAGAGTGGTGTGTTTTACACCAGAGGCCAGCATGCCAGAGGGTATAAGATGGCTACGTTCATTCATGCATTCACTGACTTCATTATTTTAGAGATTGTATGTAAACAGAGGTAGTGACAATGTATTATTATTTGTGAACTATCTGCTTTAACTTTTTGGGCTTCAGTTCAGCTTCAATTGTTTCTCACAGTAAAAGTCTGAAGAGAGATGAACGTGATCCGTGACATCCTGTGTAGAACTGACTCAAAATTATTTCCCATGAGACAAGAGAAAACTGTCCTTGGCAAGGTCAGGGAATTCTTTCACTGCAAACTGCTATCTAGGCCCTGCACAGTATTTTACCAGCATATAAACTTGTTAGTTTTCTTTGCCCTCAAAGTTACAGCTTTGTTTTGTTTCCACTGATGTCCCAACCCACCGTTAAAAAAAACAGGACGGTTATCTCAAAAAGCAACACCATTCGCAGTCGGAGAGACGGCACAGGGTTAGCACACAGCTTGGGGGGGGGGTGCGGTTTAGGTATGTGGGTGTCCACAGGTTGTTTTAAAATGAAAATAAGTTTAGTAAAATTCAGGTTTAATTTCTTACCAAATCCAGCCATTGATTTTTAAAGGTGATGATAGCATTGTAGCCAGTGAAATTACTGTGATCTCAGGAAACAGCAGCGTAACTAAACATATGATCAACAGGGGAACAAATATGACCTGACAGGTTGTAAACTATTGTTAATTTCTATAATGCTTCTCTTTGAAATACATTTGGCTAACCTAAGTCTCTTTTGTTACAACCTGTAACGGCTTGCATTTGTTGCCCCACATCTTTTTATAGACAATGAAAACAAAGTTATAATAAACTGTAAATTGCTGTCAAAGAAAGCCACTCGGCCTTACCAAGACACATAGGACTTTATAACACTGTATGGCAAATCAACGGTTCACAACAGATTGCCACTGAAATCCCAACAGAAGTCATTAGAGGCTTCTGGCCTCTTTTAAATGTAGGTGTAAATCATGAGCATCAGAGCACACGTGAAAAAACTCTGATGGCCTTGAAATATCAGGCTTGTGTGCAGGCACTGGCTCATTTTCAAATGGAAAGAGCAAAAAGTAATATCCGCACAGCCCTGGCATGCAATCAACAGCTCACAAAGAGGGTTAGCAGCTATGATGATCAATTACTGACACTGTGTAAATTAAGCTTCAGACCCCGGGTTACTTAAGAGTTTAACTCTTTACTAATCATGAGTGTCACATCAGCAACTTTTTTAAATCCTCAAAAAAATTTCAAGGACCATGTTATTATCAGATGTATGATTATTTTTGTAGTAGCAGGCTGGCAGCTCCACTGAGACTGTTTGGATCCATGAGTCACCTGTGGATGAACCAGCCTGTAAATGAAGAATCAGTTAGTGAAGGGGAGGAGGAGTTAGTGTGGAGAGAAAGGAAGACTCAGGCAGTCGTTGGCACAGATCACACCTCCACAATTCAGCTGGCTCCAGATGGACGGACTAGAGGATAGACGGGCAGACAGCGAGAAGAGGGGGAGACGCATAAACACACAAGATATTCACAGGCACTGCCGCACCACCTCCTGCTTGCTGAGTGACGCTGCAAAAGGAAGGAGCAGCGAGGGGATGCCAGAAGATGAATAACAGACAAATAATATCGAACAGTCAGATGTGAGAGAGAAAAGGAGAGGAGAAATTCAGCCAAGACTACATAGCACAGACTAAGCTGGAAGTCAGACAGTCAGTCAGACGGTCAGACTCGGACAAGAAGGAAAACCTTCAGTCGCCACGCAGACGAAACAGAGAGAGAAGCCTGAGTGTTCACAGCACTCCTGCAGACAGACCAGTGGGGATGCTGGGTTAGAGACTGTGTCAAACAAAAACACAACCCATAACATTGTGCCGTGCAGAAAAGCCACATGCACCGTGATTCTCTGCCTCCAGCAATACAAAGGTTAATCGTCTGACACGTGTCCACACACACATACACTGTGAAGATCAACACACACACCAACACTGCTCTGCCACTGGCATAGACACACACAGCCAGAGAGAGAGAGAGAGAGAGAGAGAGAGAGAGGAGGAGTAGGGATGGAAAGATGGAGAGAGGATGTGATTTGGGAGGAGGTGTGAATAACTGCTCGGCTAAAATACTGGACTAGATTCACAAACATGGATTAAACTTGTGCCCCTTGGAAGAGATTTAGTCGTATAACTACGGGGCTCTGGTGTGAGAGAGAATGTGTGTGTGTGTGTGTGTTTGGAGGTGGTTTGAAACAGAAACTAGACAAGCTTAAAAGTTTTGTCTATAATCCATAATGTCTCTGTGAAACTAAACTACACTTTATTGACCAGTCTGAATGAAGGTTACACTTGGTTTCTCTTTCTAAGACTCAAAATGATGCACAGAATGTTAGAAATGTTCATGTTAAAAATCAAGCAGGATTCCCACTCTTTTACAGATTTAAGATACTTTCAAATTGTCCCTATAATTCCAGGCCTTCCAGCATGTGTGGGTACCCCGACAATCACAGGCATAATCACAGTCAGTTAAGAAGTACTATTGAGAGTCTTTCCAGCAATTTGGAGCAAAACAAATGTAACTAAATTGGTGAGAATGTAAAGAGCTGCTTGTGTTTTTTTTATGTTCGGTGGCACACGCTGAGGTTTACGGGTGGTATAAGTAAAAAGACTCGGAGAGAGAGGATGAGGTGAAACAGGGGACACAGGTGGTTGGGGGAGAGTTGGTTGTGGTGGGGGAGAGAAGTGCAGTGGCAGAGAGAGCGATGGATTTAATGATACCTGCACGCTGGGAAGGGGCTGGAGCAGGACTGAGCTGGATCACGATGACTAGACAGAAGAAAGAAAATATACACACACACACACATTACTGCACTGTACTACAGAGACGATCACACGTGCGCACACACTCCACCAACACACAAGCTTTCAGACTTCTACAAATCACACAAATTTGAGCAGTGAATAAAGTATAATTCCGGCGTTAATCTCTTTTTGTCTTATGGCTTGCACATCCTATGGGAAGATCAAAATCAATGCATTAGTGGGTCTCTCCAACCTACTACCATGCCTATGGTACTCGGCCCCAAGCTCACTGGTTCCTACTGGAGTCATTCATCTTTAAAAACAGGTGAGAAACATATTGTTTGTCCTATAGACAGCTAGAGACTGTGGTTTTTACTGGGGGGTATTTTCATTTGCAGATTAATACACATTTGTTGCTCTGGTGGATAATTATGGCAATAAGATTTTGTAGATGTCAACTCAAAATAAGCTCAATTTAATTTCCATCATTAGCAATATAGCACAGGTTCAAGCAGAGTGAGGAGGTATGACACATAATCAATCTCAAAGCTTATTGGCTATTGTCTGACGATGAAAAAGCCTATGGGGATAACGGCCAATATTTTGGGCTTTGTGTGCCATTGACTTTCCAGACTTTCCATTTCTTTTTTAATCACACGAGTCAAACGTTTCTCCACACAACACACAAACAGTGAACTGTCTTTAAAAGAGAATTGATAAAGAATTAATAATGTTATTTTTATCGTGACAATTATCGATATCAACTGACTCATTTTATCTTGTCCAGCTCTAATGAAAGCACAGGTCACCCACTGCTGCAGTGTGGCGCACTGGTGTGTTTGAAATAGGGATGTCTCTATTTTTCCCAGATTTATAATGTTATAATTCACATTGGACATAAAGGAACAGTAATCTGCAAGGTGAATTGAGGGTATGAATATGTGGTGCACTAAATATGGAGTCAGCACTCCACAGTGAGTGAATGAAAGCAAATGTTTAGTTTTTGGTCCATCAGTTCATTCGTTGAGTCTATTCTTGGTTTATGTCAGCAATAAGAGAAAGAGAGAATAACGCCAACCTTACATTTCACTCATGCACCCTTTCATTCTCACACGCAGCTAATGTGAATTCACAATACAGTATTTTTCAAAAGAACATAAGGGGAAGAGAATGAAGCAGGTTTGAGGTGAAAGTCTCTCAAACCTCACGTGGCTGAGAGAGATGATCTGTGGGAAAGAATGATCATCAGTGACATTATTGTGCAAAGACAATATCACAGGCTGCTGATAACACTAAGTGTGTGTCTGTCTCCATCAACAGTGTTGTACACACTTCCCTGCTGAACTACCTTTGACTTGTCTGCTCTCACACAGCGTTACTGCTTCACCATTTCTTTTAACACTGCATCCAATGGAAACTGCGAGGGGCTTTACTCCGGGAGACCCGTTCAGAGGAGCCCGAGTTTACAACACGGCACCAACGTTTGTTTGACGTTAGCTAACGTTAGATGCGGTAGCTGCTGCCACAAATTAGCGTCTTGTTCGTCAAGGTTCAAAAGTGGCAGGAAAAAACCGGCCTGCCGCCAACAGCCCTGAACAAACACACCATTTCATATTCGTGAGACACTGTGGAGTCGCTTGGGTGGAATGGCACCTCTGTAATATTCACGTTCACAGTGTAGGGACGGCGTGAAATGTTCAGACTGACGCTGGGCCTGCCACCGACTATCACTCAGGGTGCTAGCCCGTTAGCCTAGCATGTTTGACAGCACTGAATCAAAACAGATTTCGGGACGTGACTGGCAGCGACATATTTCATGACAGCTCTCCGGGGTTTTTCCATTTTGGCTTCAACCTCAGTGCGAATCGTCCCAATGGTTAATGACGTGATTTAACCCCCCTCAAAAGAATCTAGCGACCCAGCCGAGTCGGTGTTTGTTTATGTAGCTAGCCTGTTAGCAGGTAGTAGCTCGGAGCACCCCGCACTCCTTCCCCTCCCTCCCTCCGCCTCTGCGATCTTTCCCCGGCTATTCTGGCCGTTACCGACTCCCCGGTCCTCCCCGGTGGACACTCACTGGGCCTGGGACGTGACCGGTGCGGACTCATGTCGATGTTCAGGTCGATCCTCCGGCGAGCTTCTTCATTCTCCAGCTTTAGCTTCTCCTCGATTCGCGACAGCCTCTGTTCCAGCGACGACATCTTGAAAAATTGAGCACCATGTAGTTCCCAGCAGAGTCTCTACTCCCCCCTCTCTCTACTCCCCCTCTCTCTCCCTGTGGCAGGCAGGGCAACGCACGCACGCACACGCGCGCACGCACGCACACACACACACACACACACACACACACACACACACACACACACACTGCAGTATTATCCCACCTCTGTCCTCATGCACCTTTATTATTCCATACGACACAGTCATTCCTATACAGCCAATAACAGCTAATGGTCACATCTTATATATCATAATAGACGTGTGCTGTATATGATAATAGTCCTGTGTTATATATGATAAGCCATGTGTTAAATACACAGAATAGTCCTGTGTTATATATGATAAGCCATGTGTTATATACACAGAATAGTCCTGTGTTATATATGATAAGATATAATATACGATAATGTTTGGTTGAAGATAAAAACCACGATGTAATACAAACGTTGACCTATTAGAAATCTTCTCGTGTTTGATAAATCAAGGATCTGTTCATAAATGGTTCTGGACATTATCTTCAGCCCACAGCCCCGGGTCCTCTCATGTCCTCTATGACTCCCCTGCTGAGATCCTAGACTCAAACCTCAAGCAGCTACTGTGTCGTGGAACTGAGGAATAATATCAGATTAATGGCATCTCGTCATAAATTAACAAATTAACCAGCAAACATTTTTATAGTCAAATAAATTGTCATTTTTATGGTGAGGACTTTTTGTGACGACAGGTGACCTCTTGGTTTTAATCACTGTATGCTGTCTTATGTTTAACACACTCATTTGCTGACATTCAGTAGAGTATGTATGCCTGCATGTGGGTTTAATGTAATATTGGAAACCTGTTAGGATTTTCTGTTATCACAGAGCTGAGACTTTGAGGCTTTTAGGATAGGTCTCATGATCAGTCAATAGATAGATAATTAAAAAGCAACAGTTTTAATAACTATTTGATAAACAATGCTACCCTTGGCAAGTTTTGACGAGGACTTTGATCCACTTAACAATGAGTTGTTTGAGAGTAATATTCAAACTGAAACATATTCAACTCAAAAAGAATCTTGTACAAAGATAAGAAATGGATATATTATCACACCAAGGTCATTAAAAACCAGTGTTTATCTCCAATATTCATCAAGGAAACCTTCAAAATATCTACAATTCTCAAAGGACTTGGATGGTGTATTTGTTACAGTGGCAGCTTTGGAGCTGTTGAGCTGTGTTTCAGTTGAATGAGTAGTTCAGGGACTACACAGTCAGGAAATTGATAGGCAGGTTTTTTTCGCAACATGAAAACCACGTCATCGCCTGGTCAAGGAGTCAAACAGAATGAATCACAATGTGAGGCTGCAGGGGGCGCTGTTGCTTGGTACAAAGTGACAGTCTTCAAAGTTGATAAAACATAAGTCAATGACCAGTTCAGATCCAAACACATTGATTTAAAATGTATTTCTACACTTGTAACCATCACAAATACACACAAATAGACATTGAGTAGTTGTTTTGTTTTACTGAAATGTATCTGACGCGTTATTGCAGGATTCTCGTCTTCACTCTCCAGTATCTGTACGTGAATGAACTCTCCCATGAACATACCAACAATTAGCTTCACTCCAGATTTTCTTTATAAAATGAATCATCTCATTCTCTCACATGGTTTTTGTATTGTCTTACACAAGAGAAGGTAAAATCGACACCATCATACAAGCTTCACATCAAATGTCTCCTGTACTCAGAGATATTTCAATGTTAACAGACGTTTATACCACTGGCTCATATGTTTCCAACACTTACTTTCCCTCAGATGATAGTTTTTCATGTAGAAATGTATTGCTAAGAGAACTCGTTTGCTCGGATCAAAGGCTGCGTTCACTGCAGCAAACTCTCCAATTCATTCTACTGTGGAAAAGTGGCTGGTGAGGTTTGTTTTGCTTGTGATGCCACCCAGAATTTTTAAAACAGTACTAAGATATCAGTCAGTTTCAGTTAGAAGAAAGATAATGTTATCGCTCTGATGAAAACCAAACCCTGCAGCAGGTTGATTTTAACCTGTGGTTGGCTAGAGTTTTTAAAAACAGACATTAAAACAAATGCTACAGCCAGTGTTTGGTGAGTTTAAAGTCTGATGTAATCACTTACTCCATGTTAACAAAGGTCTGCTAGCATCTCGAAAACAGGAGGAATGTGTCAAACCCATAAAGGACAATCTTTTTTCAACTTTTTCAAGTCTTAGTGTATTTTTTTTCTGACAAAAAAAAAAAACAATAACCTGCTTGCAACATAGCTTTTACGCCCATGGTTTTGTGTCTGTTTGCTACACATGCTTATATCAAATGTGTGTAATACCCAAACATCCCAAATAAAAAAGCACACATTAAGTATGTGCAAGGTATTGAACAATGCATCGACAGTCATCAAATATGGGGCATGAAAAGTCCACTATCAGACAGTGGTTTTTTACCCTATAGTTAACTCATAATACGCCGAGCATGAGTCTGCAGTCTGCAGGTCGTCATGATACGAATGCTGGAAAAGCTCCAAGCATATATTTACTCTGAACGTTTAATTCCACTCTGACCAGCAAATCTTCTTTTTTTATTAAAAAGAGTATTTCTGCAGCACGTCGTTATCGCTGCTCCAAAATATTAAAACAAAAAGGCTTCTCCGTGGATAAAACACAAGTACAAATGTAAGGCATCGGTATAAGAGGACACTGAGCAACCTCCAAACAGTCAACAGTAAAAAGAACCTGTCCCCTCACAGCTGCACAGGTGACGACACTGACACGTAAGAGGATCGGAGGAGGCCTGTTTCAAAAGTAATGTTTGTAAGATACACAAGTCACTGGTGTGTTGTACAATGATTGTAGTGGGGCTCTCTGTTCATCCTTCATTCAAGATAGAACATTTAACCCCATCAGCTATCTGTCCCAACTTTTACTTCCTCTGTTCTCAATCTTTAAAACCTTCACATAAAAAACAGACTTCTTTCTGTCTCTCCACATTCATTCACAGTGTAATTAATGGCAGAAAAAACAGTCAGTGGACAGTTAGACTAGACTGCCGGTCCGCTCTGACGGAAGCCGCCATGAAGCTTGAACATTCCTCTAGGTGTGTGAGGCGACAGGTCCACTAGCAGAGGTCTGAGACATAGTCAAAGTCCCGGAAGCTGTCCTGGTCTTTGCGGGAGAGCACGCGGGGCTCCCGGGGAGGCGTGAGGGTGGGAAGTTCAGTGGTGAACTCCTCATCGAAGTTACTGACGTCTTCTTTGCTGCCGATGGAGGGGATGAAGGGAGGGGGCACTGTTCTTTGCAGCAACGCCTCCCAGTCCACATTCTGAATGGAGATAGAGGAACAGAGATGGAAAATAATTTAGAGATGAAAAAATGTACTGATCTTTCTTAGTTCTTCACATATTTGCTTTCAAGAGCCAAAAAAGACTTACTCTTTTTCAAGGCTCTACATTCACCTGTGTTTTAGAAACTGACATGTGCACAAGTGGAGTCAGTGACTGTTGCTATTTATGAATGACTTCACCAACCTCTTGCCTTCTTCACAACTGATTCGATCTGTTACTGTCGGTACAAAGTGAATATTTCCTGTACAATAAGGTATGGGCTGTTTTTTACCTCTGGCAAGGATGTTATGTCTGTTAGTTGGCAGGATTATGCAAAAAACTACAGAGAGGATTACCACGAAACTTGAGGGAAGGATGTGGTATGTTTCAGTGGTTCAAGGCATTCAAAAAAAATATTTAACATTATGAGATAAGAAGTTTTCAACATTTTTGGTTGATGAAAATAATTCATAGACCTTGAAGAAAAAAAAAAAAAGTTTAGAAAATTGAGTGTGTGCAATTTGCTGCAGATCCAAATCCGGAACCAGTGAATTTGAATATGTGGTTTCGTAAGGGGACTGTTGGGCCTTGGTGGAGGTTTGCTCTCTCTGAGTCCTGTTCTGGTTTTGCTATTTGGTCGTAGATTTTTACTGCATGTGTGTAAACCACTCTCTTAAACCCTGCCATGCTCCTCTGTGGATAAACACTTGCTCTGGGTTTGGGTGAGCACAGTTTAAATGCTCACAAGCATTTCTTCTCATCCATATAAAAAAAGAAAGCATGCGTGGACTTACTCTGAAAAATGGCTGCTTCTTCACCTCCTCTGCATCCTTCTCACCAGAGCCCAGTCTTCTCTCTGGGTTCCTCCTTAATAGCTGCTCGTGACAACACACACACACACAAACACACAACACGATGAGGATATTATTAACTTTTTTCCAGTTTGTCAACTTCTAACATGTGATTAGTTTTTGTTATGATTGTGTTGTGTGTATTTTCACCCTTCTCATGATGCCGATGGCCTCAGTGGAGAGGAAGCGTGGGTAGCGTACTTCATCATTCACAATGCTGTCAAACACCTCCTCCTCATCGTCTCCTGGGAACGGAGACTACACACACACACACACACACACACACAC